TCCCAGCAGACGAGGCTGAAGATAACGCTGAAGATAACGCTGATGTCCCAGCAGACGAGGCTGAATATGACGCTGAAGATAACGCCGATATCCCAGCAGACGAGACTGAAGATGACGCTGAAGACAATATCTCGGCAGACAATGCCGAAGACGATGCTAAAGGTAACGCCGAAGACAATGCTAAAAATTATACTAAAGATGATGCTGAAGCTAATGTCTTAGTAGATAATGTCGAAGATAACCCCGAAGATAACGCCGAAGACGATGCTAAAAACAATACTGGAGACGATGCTGAAGACAACGTCCCAGTAGACAATACCGAAGACAACGCCAAAGACGATGCTGGAGACAACACCGAAGATGATGTCTCAGTAGCTATTGCCAATAATACCTCAGGAGTTACTATTGGCAATATCCCAGCGAGTAACCTAGCCATCATCGCTGAAGGCCATATCCCAGATATTCAAGATGCCAATGCTAATGCCAAAGATGGTCCGTCGGACGGTGACCACGTTGCCAGCGGCAGAGTTTCTCGTACGTCCTACGCATAACAGTTCATAATGCTAACCATGATAAAGACTAAAGGCTAATGGAATGTTGACTAGAACGGCGTGCCATCGCTCTCGAGTTCTCTGAAGACGCTATGTGTCCCAATACACCGGTAACCTCGACAACCACTTCAGAGTCTCTTATCAATGACCTTAATCAAGCGCTCGCCGAGAAGAATAGGCTCCAGAAGAGATCTGAGAGAAACGAGCCTTTTCAACCTCGTGGGCATGCAATTTATCTTGCAGACTCTTTATCTTTCTCAAAAGAAGCCAAGAAGCCAGAACTAGTTTTCCTCGAGAACGAAGTCCAGCCAATATACACCGACGATATCCCAGGCGCCCTAAAAGCTCTCTCTAGAGGTCCCATCCCAGCACTCCCTACCATCGAAGATGTCCCACAGGTCATTATCAACGATAGCCCAGCAGTTGCTACGCCAGCGGTTACCACAGCAGCCGGTCCCAAAAATCATGCCTTAAAAAAGTTACAACGACAAGGCATGGAATTCCACCAGATTACGCGCCTGGATTACGTCCAACCGCGCAAATATGGAATCCAAATTTTAACGGATGTCCACCTGGTGCTGGAAAATGATGTTGCCTCTAGAGAGCTTTCTTCCTTAGCCTTTAAGGAAATAATGGCTAAAAAAGAAATCTTGCATAAAGATATAGAGATTCTGCGGCAGAGAAATGACGATGCTCTCAGAGTTTCCCAGAAAAGCAAACAGATCTGTATACATAATGTACGTCACATTTGGATATACCTCTTTAACATGCTAATATTTTCATAGCAATCTGTAGCCAGGAATGCGCATATGGTAGAGGGGCGTATAGTAATGGAAGACGGGTACAATAACATGGAGGGAAATCTTGTCTGGCCTGGGAATTTGTCGATTTACCTTGTTGTTTCCTTGGCTTTGTTGTGTCTGTACTTGATGTGTCGTGCACCTCAGTAGCGAGAACTAAATACTATATTATATTAGGTTGTGTTGCTATAACGTATATTGTAAATCTCAGTGACTTACAGATAATAATGTTACTCTCACAAAGCTAGGGGTGTCAAAGTTTACACATTACATAACTGGCCTAACCGTGGTTACATTAAGGCTCTTTGGTAGAAAAGTCACGCTACGAAACAGGATCGTGAACAGGAAGCTATCCGGACTACAAATAGATCGGCTTCCCTCTGTAGTACAACATGCCAACTTCTGTAACAACTTTGCCATTTGACTTCTGCAATCTTGAAGCTTGATCTAAAATGTTTGCCGGAGAAAGCACCGCTGAGTCCCAATTTGATATTCCTACTCGAACTCTCAAGTTGCTCCTGGAGATCGAACTCTCTTCATCAGGAACTCAACGTCACAATTCACGCTAGCGATAAGATTGTTGCTGATATTATCTCCTTAAGACTGAATCCATCAAATGACATCTTTACCCAAATTTTCCTAGCCGCAAAAGAGATACTCGATCGTTTGCTTTTGAATCAGGAGCAGCAACTTGTCAATTACCAACACTCTACGAAATATATGGATATCCGCAAAGATCTCCCTTCATTTTACAGGAATCTCGAAATAAATATTACAATAACTAATAAGATAATTGTGGACCTACGCACTATGGTATATTGGTCACCATTATAAGAAATACCTTTCAAGAGTGCTTATATTTGTGTAGTTTAATCAAGAACAGCCTGCCATGTTGCCCCGGATTAAGACAATTTATGACGCATTCTTCGATCGCATTAGTCAGTTGGGCTGCAATATTAAACATGACTTGGCTATTATACTTTCGTCTATGACTGGGTGGTATAAGGGCCCTGCGCTACGGATAAATTATAAATAAGCTGCTTATATAGTAGGATACTATCTTCTGTAAAAACTTTACTCCAACCTTCACGCAAAATGTCCTACCACAATCCTGAACTCCTCTCCCAACTCATCATACATATCACCACTCTGAAAAGGGTAGTTAGAATACTCGAATCTCTACTCTGGAAAAAACAAGAAGTCTACAACGACTTCGGAAACAACTATCTCTTTAAGGATAAGATAGAATTCAAAAACCAATTTAAGGAACTATCTACTTTCTTACATAGCAAAAGAGATCTCGAAATCGCAATGCAAATGCTCAGAGATCAGCTTTCGATCCATCAAGAGTTAGTTAGCTTAATTAATAAGGGGCTGAATTTTACGAATGTAGGCGATTTTTACAATACATTGATTAAGGGAATTAAACGTAATAAGGAATATTCCTCCCGATTACACGATCATGAAATTTTTCTTTCAAAATATTTACACATCTCTTCTATAGCAGACGTAATAACGTTATCCGGTTCTAAGTTGGAGCAATAGAGTCAGAGGTATACATTCAGCCTTTAGTCAGATTAAGCGCTCCGTTTAATAGCGGACTTCTTTCTTTACACCATAGATATCCACAAAGGCAATCAACTATAAATAAGATACTTTTACCTAATTGTCTTTACTAAACAATCTCTAAACAATAACAATAATCCGTTAACATGTCTGCAGGAGAACATACTACTTTGTCCTTAGATATTATCTCCTCTCGAGCCAATGACGTTATTTCCGGTCTTGTGGTTATAGAGGATGTAATTCAATATTTACTTAATGCTAAAAAAGATATATATAATACAAATATCGAGGACCACTATAGCAATAAGGTTGACGACCAGCGCCGACAATTACAAGACGATCACGAATGTTTTTCTGGAATATTCGACTTTAACTCATCATTATCATATAATAATGTAACATTCCAACGCGCAATGGAAATGTTCGAAGATCAACTTTCGGTTCATAAACGTCTATTCGAACATCTAACAATTGACAATCTCGAAATCGATCTATTGGTAGACTAAATCCGGGAGAGTGAGAGTTATCTTATGGAATTACGTTCTGACGTATGTTATATTTAAAATTATCTTTTCTAGTGCACTGACTTTTTAAGTAGATTGCTGCTCTCAAATCTTTAGTTAGGGCCTGTGATGATGGCTATGCACTGGTCTGTTCAGAAAAGATTGGCGAAATAGAGTACTTGTTCGTGTTTGATCTGGTTAAGCGGGTATTTTATATACAGAAGATAGGGCTAATGTCAATGTGGAAATTATGTTACTAGTTCCTAGTTCATTCATGTGAATGGGAAGTTTTTGATATACCAATACTTTCATTTCAGTATTGCGTAAGGCCAACGCATTGGAATATAAATAGGCTGCTTTCTCCTTGACCTACTCGCTATAGTAACAACTTCTGCAACAACAACAACAACAACAACAACAACAACAACAACAACAACAACAACAACAACAACAACAACAATAACAACAACAACAACAACAACAACAACAACAACAACAACAACAACAACAACAACAACAACAACAACAACAACAACAACAACAACAACAACAGCAACAACAACAAGAGTTACCTATTTTTTAAAATGGACGCTATACCGATGGATATTGAATCCCTTAGGCAAAGCGTACTTCACCATTGTGGTAAGCATAAGCACAAAGTCACGCAAATTGTTTTAGACCGGCCCGATCGCCGCGAACATCCCGTGAAGTTCTTCATTATGCATTTTTTCGTCAGGTGGTGGTTTTTGGATCCGCCACATCACACCACGTTGATCACCGTTAGCTACGTAAGTGTTTTGCTCTCCAGTCTTAAGCAACCTTTTAGAAACCAACTAATCTAGTGTAGACCGTTAACTTGGGAGATTTCCTCCGAGATCTTAAAGGCGCCATGGAGGCGCGTCAGATACATTGTCCTGCTCCTAAGTATACGTACGGTACTATTACGACCAGGTTCTTATGGTTTCAACAATTGGCTTACAGAGGTGGCCAAATTGAATCAACTACAGGCCGATCAGACAATCACGGCTGCCAGCTTGATCAAGAAAGTAACTTAGAATACACAACTAGCTAGAATTCCATACTAAAGTTAGATCTACAGCTCAAATACAAGACTCATTTATTACCTAGCTATCAATCCCGGCCCTCCACCCAAAACTCCTCGTCAGCATGAGGATCTGGAGATTCTGCCTTCCAATCACAGTCAGATTCGTCCGTCAATTGATCACAGAGAAGACGTCCCTTCGTCGCCGAATCGAAGATGAACACGCAACCTATGATAATATGCTTCAGCAATTACTATCTCTATCGCATGACAAAGAAGATTTCGAAATTGCAAAGGGATTCTTCAAAGAAGAAATTTCTACCCATAAGCATTTAATTAACCTGCTTACACCTGACATTTGCGATAATTTCGACGAATTTGTTATGACGATGAAAAATGGAATTGACCGTAATAAGATATATTAAGGAGCATTATGCGATTATGTCAGTGCTATGGAACATGTAAGAAGAATTCGCAGGAGGGAACAAATGCCTTCTTGTATTGAAGATCTAATCAGGTTGTCCGATTCTAAATTGATACAGGTGTATAGCTAGTCTACTTTGGCTAGTGAGGATTAGATTGATGTAGCTTTGGACATTATGTAGCTAGTTCTATTAGTTTATTTATGCGGCTCGAAAGTTTTTGATTTGCTAATACTTGACTTTAGCATTCCGTGAGGCTGATATATTGAAATATAAATAGGCTGCTTGCTCCCCTATTGCACAACATATTTGTTTCACCCACTCGCTATAGCAAGCAATAGTATCAGGAAAATCTACCTTTATATTTATAAGCAGACGCGATGCGGTTTGATTGGCCACACATTCAACAAATATATTCCAAACTCATTGGGCATTTACTTGACCATTGTAAGGAACGCAACATTAAGCATATTTATTTTGACCGGCAGGATCGTCGCAATGATCCCGTGAACTTCTTCATTAAGCATTATGTCCTACGGCGGTGGTTTTATCCCCTGCCAGATCCTTACTTTACGATAGTTACCGTTCAATATGTAGGTTTTGTCTTGGGCCACTTTTTAGAACCCAACTGATTTGGTCTAGGCTGGAGGTATAAAGATAGAATTCAAGATGAAAACTACGCACCTGACAGATTTCTTCAGCGATTTGTATCTTAACATGAGAGACCAGAATTTCCCGTATACTATTCCTACGTACAAGTATAAGTACGCGAAATTTGCATAAGAAAGCTGGGAAAGTTAGGAAAGCCAGAATACAGGACTGGATGTTCACTTCATGTCACTCATTATGTCATACTTATGTAACCTTGGAGATTGTCAGTACTTTTAGAAATCTAGGTAGATCTCTTCAACATCCTTTAAGAGACACTTCTTTCGGTCCTGGTTGTAGCAGTAGCCCTAGAGGAGATTGCAGGAGCCGATAACCGCAGGCTTAGAGTCCCAGACATAGGTGGCTTGTCGGAGACTGCGGCATAAAACACTGGAACTAATAGAGCGTACATACAATATACTTCGCCACTAATAGCCAAACATCTTCCATCATAGAATGCTTTCCACTCACAATCTCTAAAGCATAATAACCATAGCTCTTCTTACAAACTTCAACCTCCACACTCTACCATACAAGATGATTACCTCCAGCTCCAAGCTTTACAGCTTCGGCCGCGGGGCCTATGATACCACCGGTCTCCCCAAACCTCCTCCCCCTCAGCCTCAATAATTGGGGGCTTCACAAAATTCGATAATGTTTTCCAACACAACGCATTTACACCTCTACTCAACCTCGGCTTCATTAAATGAGAATAAAAACCTCAACGGATTCCCCAATATCTTCCGGCATAACGCCCCTCTTCTTAACTTCAGGGGATTGCGACCTCTTTACGCTCGAGATCCAGTTGCAAGCGATGGAGCCTTATATGTAAATAGTATATTGTAGATAGTGTATAAACATTTCTATTTAGTCTACTGCTTTGTTTTATTATTCACCTAGGAAACGTATATCTATGTCTTCCTTTGTTACACCGAAACGTAGCGAACGCTTGATCTGAACTCGGCGGCTCCTACCGTCGTAGTGCCCAGATGAGGACTTACGTAACTGGCTTACAAACAAATAAACAAGTATATCTATGTCTTTTTATCTCCGGTCTTTTGGCTCCCCCACTAGCCGGATATCTTGACTATAAGTAGCAGGCTTCCCCTCGTCCTTAGATTTAGTAAAAATAATTGACAATATATAACTCTCTACCTAATATGAACTCTCACACACCTGCCCCATTTCCGGGGCGATTTGGAAGGTCTAACCAACTTGCACGGCCGCGGGATTCCTCCGCAGAGCGCGCGCCTTCTGATGAAAGTTATGATAAGATTCCCGACGAGGAACAAGAACACATCGATGAGGTCGTAAGTTTGCCACAATCTGTCCTAGACTGTGTCAGGTTTCTCACATTAGTAATGCCCTCATAGTTTGACTTAATGGATATGAAAAAGAAAGGGTGGCTGAATAGCTATGAATTTAAACACTCGCTCGCTGCGCTCGGCTTCGACATGTCTAAACCCGACTACTGCAGAAAACTAGAAGACTACGGCATAGTACCGCCCGACTGGCAAGACCCTCACAGCTGTCCAGTTAACCGCCTTCTCATCTACCACGACCAGTTCCAACTATGCGCCGTAAAGCTTATTGCCCAACGAGACCCGCGTGAGGAGGCTATTAAAGTGTTCAACATGTTCGACTACGACCAGGACGGCATCATCTCGGTCGAAGATATGAGGCATCTAGCTCAAGACATCAAGGAGGAACGCACAATGACGGATGAAGAGATCCAGACCATGATAGAGCATCTCGACCACGACGGCAAGGGCGGGGTGAATCTTGAAGAGTTTATACAGATGATGATGGAATCATAATAGTTTGACATTATATAAAATAAGAAAGATATATTTTATGAGTATACTGTATTATGACTGGAGTGCGGCGTAAAGATTCTATTGATACTCATTGGAAGTCATACGTAGGACACGTAGGTCGCGAATATAGAGTACTGCATGGTAGTCTCTTGTTGTGGAAGTCGACTTCCTAGGAAGTCGCGTGGGTGCTAAGGTGCGCCCACAGCGGGTTGACATTAGCATTTGTACATGTACAAGTAGTCTTCTCAGGCTGATATAGCCTCCTAGCCAAGCGCCAGCTAGATACTATGATCCGAATAGCTCTGCTTGCTTTTTTGTAACAAATTACAACCTATTCAATTTTACATAGGCAGCTTTCTCTCCTGTTGTATAAGCATAACAAGTGTGCTTCTGCTGCTTCGGGGACTGGAAGGCACTAACTTCCTAGGAAGTCGGATGTCCACGACTCTTCAATCCTTTTTATGGGGAGCACCACTTAATTTTGAAGGACCGGACTAGCTCACGCCACCTATGGAGACTCCATACTAAATTTAGATCTACGGCGCTTTCATTCACTTGTTGATTGGCTTAAATACGAGACAGATTAGATTGCAGTATTTGTCCTCATGTACATGCTCAAGATGCCACAAACGGCCACGCTCGTCGTTATGAGAAACCCATCAATCCCGGCCCTCCACCCAAAACTCCTCGTCAGCATGAGGATCTGGAGATTCTGCCTTCCAATCACAGTCAGATTCGTCCGTCAATTGATTACAGAGAAGACGTAGCCTCTTTCTCGGGAGAGCGTTAACAATATGTCCCTCTTCTAACTTAGATGCAGGCTCTTCCCTTTTCCTTGTGATGTTTAGTTGCTTGCAATCTTTTCCCTCGTCGCTGACGAGCATTGCTCCTGGGATTTCCCCTCCACCATGGGCCTCTCTTACGTGCGCCAACTAGAAATCTCGACCGCCGATCAAATATTCCTTTATCTGCTCTTATTAGCGGCATTCTGGACATTAAAATAGGTGAGAGAAATCCTTAGAATGCTTTTTATTAAGATGCTGTGTGAATCCTCTTGCTGCGAAGATATCCCTGCATAATGGACAATATACCCTTCTCATAGTATTAGGCTAAACGTTAGGTACATGTGTCTTGCCATATATTCGCTCGACGTGGTTGCTCCAAGCACACGGGCTGGCCTCGATCCAGCTCTCGGCTAATCCAAGGTACATGCATTCCGGACAGGAGAAAGGGTGCTTAAAATCATAGGTTTGCTTAACGTGTCTAGTGAGCGAAGTTTTATTAAAAAATTCACCACAGCCAAAGAGACACCGTGGTTTCTTTAGAGGTTCGAGCTTGAGGAGATTGGAGTCCTCGATCGTAGGGCCAGCATCCTTATTACCCTCCGGTGTTTTGCTTCTCAAATACTCCACAAGCTTGTCTGAAAGCGTTACAGGAGGCATTTAGTTTATGAGCAGTGAAGAAAGCTTCTCAGCGGCGGCATTGCTGGACTTAAATAGGGTTCGCCGCGGGTTGGTTGCCAGAGGATTATATAAATGTATCGTTGATTTCCCCTGTGCCCGCAATCTATCGACCTCTGCGAAGTAGTCTCGGCGTTTATCGTGCAGCACAAGTTTCTCCAGGGAGTCGTAGATCTATTAAATTCGTCCCTAAACCTTCCCTTCCTCCTTACTATTCAGCCCGTGTTTATTTCGGATGCTAATCAACCCCTGTCTCAAGGTCCTAATATCATTTCATTCTTCAAACTTGTCACTCTCTTCTTAAGTAAGATAGAGGGGGGCATAAGGGTCCCGTCGCAAGAAGGCATTAGATATAACGGACTATAGGCCATCGTCTTGTTTACCAAGCTCACCGAACGTAATCTCCGACAATCTCTGTCGTATTAGAACCGGCTGATAGGATCTTTCGAAGACCTCTGTTGAATTGGAAAGTATATAGTTTCGTACGGCTGAGGCTAAGCTCCCTGTGATAGGCAAATAAGACGGTGTCAGTTGGACAAGAGTAAATGAAGATTGCTATTAATATAGACTTACTATTAAGCCGTCCTCCTGCACCAACTCTCAGTGTATAGGGCCGCTTTGTCTCACGAGACCCTGCAACAAAATGCATACGATTCCAAATGTCCAAAAACTGATTATATAATATTGGGACAATCTTGTTTTTCTTTTTGATCACCTCGTCCCTCCAGTTAAGTCGTACGAAATCCACGCCTTCTTTAAGTAGCCCGGGCCGCAGTACCTGGTCGCATAAATAATAGCCAGCTTCAAAGGCGTTATTAGCAATAGCCCTTATCGTAAATAGCGTGATGAGACAAAGTAATTTATGTAGTACAACTAACATAGTAAATTTCAGCCTATATTATCATCGTAATGTTAGTTAAGCTGAGATTTAAGTAAGAAGGACGTAGTCTGGGTAACTCTACTTGGAGCGCTAATCTCTTTAAATACGAACTGCCCTTTGCTTAACATAGTGAATGGTAGTATACACCACTAGCCAAGTCTTCAATAGATTTTTCAAGTCTCTGACCCATGCAAACTCAACATCCTCATACCGGATATTCACCAGACTGCCTGGTCTCCAGCCACCAATACCACCTAAAAGAGTGGCACAGTGGAATGCAAACCGTATGCTGGGCCTGCACGGTATATGCTTCGCTCTTGTCCAGACTGTGTCGAGGCAGAAGATGACATCGTCTGCTCTTATCTCAGACTTTTCAAAACTCTGCTCAAGAGAGAGGCCGAGTTCAATAGCTAAATAAGGTATCCACTGCATACATCTCAATCTATCAGCGAATTAAAGCCGGACCGGGGAGGGGAAGGGACGAGAGAATAACTGACCTGAGATATATCATAGGCTTTGCTATTACTATAACCAACGTTGCGGAATAAAGCAAGAAGGCGCCAGGATCCTGCGTTCTTTAGATCCTGTTTTCTCTTCTTATCTAATACCCTGCTGTCGGCTTTATTAACAAGAAGAGTCTACGTGTCTTTAACTGTGCAGGCGCTCTAAATAGTCCGTACTTCTTTATACTCCTCCGGACCTAAACATGGCCGTTTTGTGATTAAGCCTTTAATATACATTCTTAGAAAAGTTTGGAATATCGACTATACGTCCTCTCTGACACAAAGGTTAATCCAGAGACCGTTGGGATCTAAGTCCATCTCCTCAGTGAAGCTAAGTTGCTGTTAGTAGTTAGCAATAAAGCTGGGAAGTAGAGCTGTACCGTTGCCAATTTCGCCATATTCTATCACGGCGCTGTTTAGTTTTTGCGGCTAGATTTGAATCCTTATGAAGTGGCTTCGCCTAGTATTACTTAAGGGTGGTTAGAGCAAGCTCTTTGTTAAAAGCCCGTTAACGAGGCCGTTCAAAGGGGAGAGGTCCTTGCGGAGAGCCTATCGCATCGTTGGACATAGTTGAAGTTATTGAGACAGCTATAGTAATACTTTGAATAGTAAACCAACAGCTTAAGTAAAGGCAGAAGAACTCGACAGAGAGATATTGGAAAGGGAGGGATAAGGGATGCGAGGAAGGGTTATATATATGCAATAGTTGCGGAAAGGCACGGAAGGTCGTGGCAGCAGACTAATACTTACCTGCTTTATCATCTATTAAAAAAACAAATCCTGTGGGGAGTACGCAAGCTGTCGTCCTAAAATTGAGCCGGAAGGCGCGCGCTTTTCGCGAAACTAAAATAAGAAGATGGGAAAGAGCGACAGGGGGAAAGGGGGCGTGATGCCGGCCCGCCTTTACCTACCTTTTCGGCGGTTAAAGTAAAGGAGGAGGTGGGAGGGGGTGGGCGGTTCGTCCACTCCTCTTCGGTATCGGAGACCGAACAAAACGGTAGTGGGGCAGAGAGGGCTCCATCTGTTCCGTAGGAAACGGCACCCGGCCCCAGCAGGCTGAGTCGGTAAAAGTTCGGGTATGTTCCATGACTAGAGTAGGTTCCTCGTCTGCTCCCCCAGAGACAAGCCACTAACCGGCAGATTAGTAGTTGAGTGGGAGACCATCAGCGAACACCGGCTGTTGTATGTTGTTTCTTTTTTGCATTTTTTGCATCTCGACATCTTCAACACGTCGAACCAACACCGGCAATATGCAGTCTATAACAAATGTAGTGAGATGCATGGCGGTGTGGTGGGGCTGCTGAGAGCCCACGATGCGGTGAACATATTCATACAATTTTAATGCTTCAATTCACTCATATCTCGCCTTCTCTGTCTTGGGGTATCTGTGTAAAAGAGCCTTTGCAGCTGCAGCTGCAGTTGCAGCAGCAAAATCCTGCCACCTCTTGTTCTTGTGAGAATCAGCGTAATCACAGACTCCCTTCACAATAATGCAGGGAATCTCTCCCCAAATTCCAGCGCCCTCCATCTCAAAGGCAATAACGCCTTCTTTTGCGGCAATGTTATCGCGATCTTCTCCGGATTTCAGAACTGTATCGCCTGATGCGACAGTGCCGATGTGAATCGCGGGTTCCTGTGCCTCTTCGTGGTTGCTCTCTTCAAGCTCTTGTTTTTCCTGGAGGCGTTCCCTGTCAACTAAATAACTCTCTTCGCATCCCAGTGCCTCACAAGTCTCATTCAAAGCCTCTTCGCAAACAGCATTAGTGTCACTGCTACAAATAGTGCAAGTGCTAGCCCGTAAGCCGCGATGCTTGTGACGATAATCCGGCCTAAATAGCCTATCTTTGAGCGTCCCAGGATATCGGTACTTGGTAAGTGTTCGTCGATTCTTGCTCTGCCCCGCGCTTTGAAGCTGTGTCAAGAACTGCGCCGTTTGTCTTTGAAGTAGACTTATTCCCCGATCAGTCTCAAAATTATTTAAGAGACCTTGGATATTTTTTGAAGCTTTGCCTAGGTTGTCCTGAAAAGAGCTCTTGCGCACGAATCCATTGGGATATTTCCTGCCAAAGTCGTATTGGACAACTGCCCTGCTAATCACCACATCGCCAAGGAGAATCTCATCCTCTGCAAAGGAACCAGCGCGAGGCACGCCTCCGCAAACGCCCACAAGTAGCGCCAGCTCGACGTTGTTATAACTTGACCTGAAGCTAGCGGCTGCGGCTGCGGCGTTTGACTTTCCCATCTGTGGGAGAAGCGCAAGGACGACATTGTGCTTGCCAATGCGGCCTGTTGTGTAGGTATTGAGATCACCGGCAGCTCTGCCATAGCGATCACCGTCCTCGTCCCAAAACTCGTCAAACATTTGACAAATGGCATTATATTCCGTAGGAATGGCACAGATAATCGCAACGTCAAAGTGGTCGCGGTCTGGAGGAGCCATGAGTGTCATGGTTGCAGAGCGAAAACTAAGGCACGAATTAATGCCCAAACTCCTTCTTCACTTGATAAAGGGATCAAAAATTGGTGAAATACGAACAAATTATTTGAGAGAGCTTCCGAACTGTTGAAGCTGGAAAAGTTGGATGTGCTCCGTTGTAAGATCCGTGGAGACGGATAATCGTTTGTGCTTTTGTGACATAATACACTCTGAGGATTTTTCCTAAGCCGAGACGTAAAGCTTTCTTCATGACGATTGTCCAGTTGCAAAGGTTCTGCGATGTATACTTTGTTGGATTGAGAAGGTTCAGAAAATGATCCTCGGCGTTTCCGCTTTAGTCCCTCAGGATGAAGCTCCTTCTCTAAGTTCCGGACAATCTGTTCATAGATAACCTCCCTCATGGCAGTACCTGACAAAACATTTTGTTCATCTTGGCCTCTTTGTAGGTGCATGTGTAGATACAAACATCCTTGAACAGCTTGAAGATAGAAGCTGTTCCGGTCTTGTCGCGCCTCTTCCACGTAGCCACACATCTGAGCCCAATTCCCAATATTTTTGGTAATGTTTTGTGGATCGACCTCGAGTTTTATCGGCTCCCCATTGACAATCTCCAGCAACAATTTGGCAAATGAAAGGAGAATCGGATTGCCAGGGCCGATTTTATCGTGAATATTAGGTTGCCTGAAGGTAGGAGGGCGTGATCTCACCAAGATATGCCACCACGGAGGCTCTCCATGAGAACGAGCCGAACGCATGATAAATATGCTGTCGGCATTCCAGTTACAAAATGCGCGCTCAAGGCTTTTGTCGAAAAAGACCATGAGACATCTGGCTAGGGCCAAGGCTAAAGACGTCTTCTCTTTGTGATCAAATCTTTCTATGGCTAAGCCTTGCAGATAAGCTCCGGGACTGATTGGACGGAACATGTTTTTATCGAATAACGAATTTAGAGTTTCTTCTTCGTAGTCCTGAAGGGATGTGGCCATCGGCGGCTCCTCGTCCGTAATATCGAATAGTCCTCTCTGGTCAAAGAATAGGCGAAGTTTTGTACGTTGCTTCCATGTTTCGTGGATAGCGATGCAGATATTATTTTTCTTCCTGAGATTCATCGGGGCCCTATATCTTTGTTAGATTCGTGCGTCTAACGACTAATATGTTTTAGCAGGTTCAATTACTGAATAGAGTCGCAAACGGCCTCCTGCCAACCGCACCCAGACTGGCAACACGACATGAGCATTTCGATCCTCGGTCGGCTTGAGTCGGTATGCGATTCCTCCAAGACTCTCAACTTAATCTCGTGTGTCATGCCGCAATTTACTTGTTGAAATTCCTTGAAAATGGCGTCCACGACAACGCCCACTGGATTTCGCGGCAGGGCATTTTGATGCAGCTTGGGCTTTGGTTCATCTAGACGCATCTGTGGCTGGAAAGCGTCATTTCGGCTCTGTGATTGATCGGATCTCGCTATCAACCGCTGTAAAACTGCTTTCCAAGCCGCCACCTGGCTTATAGCTTGGTTCTTGATCGCACCGGAAGGCAGGATAAAAAGAGACGAGCTTGGGTCGCTTAATAAATCGAATTGGCTGTGGTTTGATGCATCGAGGAAAAGCATTAGCGCAGCTAACTTTGGGTAGACGCTGCCGACTTTGGCAATATCGTGAGAATCGCCAAGAGAGTTGTCATCGTCCGCATATCCTGCAATAACCTCTTCATTCACCATATGATTGAGAGACACCAAAAGACCATGTACCCTCTGGTGTAAATCCTGGTAGTCCTCGACTGAGAGGTCGACGTCCAAAGTTGCTGTCTTTAGGATGTCGCGAAGGTCGCAATCTAATAAATCAGCGTCGTTTTGAATCCTGGTGGGACGATCCACGCTGGCTTTGCGACTCGTAAACGGCGCAAGTCGACCCGCCAGGCGCACCTTCAGTGCTTGAAAGCCAATCCATCCAAGGGACTCGGTTGGAAGCATGGCATGTCTATGTGTTTGACTGCCTATTTACAACGGACAAGACCATGCGTGACTGGTACGAGCCTCTGTGTGGTTGCGACTGTGGTTTGCGGCTGAAGATTGAAAGCGGGGGTTTTGTGAGGCTCTCATAAGCAAAGCTGTCGGAGGCAATCCTGTACATCACTTAAACCCTGTCCGAATATTGAAGCCTTATTGCGCTATAAACATCCCATGTAATAACGCTAAGGATCAAAGTGCTACCATACCTTTGGATACATCCTATGATATAGTTCCCGCAGAAGAATGAAGATGAATTTGAATGCGCAGTAAGCGAATTCCTGGACGGCGGATACCTAGGACTGAACATAGTTCATGGGTTCGAATATTCATGAATCAGGAAACTAGGTTAGAGCATCAGTGACAACGGAAGAGACAATACACTCAAGTATAGTCAAGTACACGGATGGACTCGGCCGTATATTTATCCTCGGGATTTATAGACAATGCATGAATGCGGGGTCAACCTCAGATGGACAGTTTCGATGATGATTGCCGACATGCGATAGATTCTTGTTTACCGAGAACAAACTCTTGAGCTCGCTTGAGACAACTGAGAACGGCGCCCATATTCCACTGGTGAATGCGACTGCCGAGTTTTCAGCTGTTCCCGCATATTTCCTCTCTTCTACCCGCAGCCACATCCTGCCCATGAATTGGGCCTGCCACTAAATGAACAATCGGCACACAGATGTCCACATGCTGCTAAACCGTCATGGATGAAGACAGTATCGAGTCTGGAGAGCCGATCTATGAGCTCGCGAGCAAATGCGAAAAATTATTCTCTGAACAAATCTCGAGGCTGAAAGCTGAAGCCAATCTCAATGGAGCAAAGGTTGTTGGGGAATACCAACAGCGATTTTCAGCATGGGCGGCCTTCTTAGGCGTCTTCGCCGTTCCCGAGATGTGCCTTGATCGTAGACTGCAGAGGCATGCAGATATACAAGATCTCGCGCTTCGCTTGCTGGACATTATGGAGAGAAATTTGACTTATCGTGCGTCCCATATCTGCTATCTCTAGTGAATGAATATTCATATAACAAGCAGTTTTTGAACCTGAAAGCCCCTCCGATGAAGAGAATATTGAGGTTTCAACCTCAGATAAAGCTTCATCACCTCAGCCTCAGCTCCAAATAAGCATAGAGAGTCTAAGAGGGATCGAAGGGGCTATCGAACGTCTCCATCATCTCGGAGGGACCATTCGGCTATCCTCAGAAGCGAGCCAGGCAACCAAATTTGGAAAATTCGCAGCCAAGTTTGACTCCACTTCGTTTGAAGGAGTCGCACGCCTGGCCATCACTTCATTCTATCCGGACGCAAGCCCATCTCTAATCGAGCATCTTGCGCGCGCAATGGCCGACATGTATCAGAAGTTTCACTATAGGAGGTCTCGTCAAGTGAGGCTCCAAGCTCGACCTCAGCTACAATTACCTATCATAAATGAAGAGCCGGCTCTACAGATAGAGGCTGCCACGTGGAAAGCCGATCCATCACCAGCACCTCCTCCAAGAGACGATATATATAAACGATTAGTTCGACCAATAGTCATGTCACATTTAGGTGCCAGATCCCACCAGTCAAGGGATTCTAAACCCACGTCTCTTGACAGCCAAGAGTTCAAGAAGCTTTTTCCGCAGCGAAAGGGCGGCCCTGTGCAGAGTAAAACAAAGTCTGTTGCTGCTAACCTTGTTGCCTATCCTCAGCCATCAGAAGATAGTCTGGCCTGTGACTGGTGTTTTTCACCTCTTCCTGAGGACGAGTTCAAAGGGGACAAGTGGAAGTATGCACACCCCTCTTATGATCTTTATAACAACAAGTTTTTGACACCCGATATTTCTTAGAAAGCATTTAAACGAAGACTTTAAGCCTTTTCTCTGTCTCTCGGAAAAATGCAGTGAGCCATTAAAAAGATTTCCAACATCGACGACCTGGTTTGACCACATGCTCGAAGCTCATGGTAAGAATTGGCACCGAGAAGTGCATTTGCCGACCTGGTGGATTTGCCCATTATGCAATAACCAAGAGACGTCATACCCCAAGATGCAAGACCTCTCTGAACACATATCAAGGCTTCATGGAGCTGTTTTTACAGAGCAACAGATTCAGATCATCGTGCAACAGAGCCGACTCCGAGCTCCTCGGTCACAAGATGTTTGTCCCCTGTGTTGTCTTCCCATGAAGGATGAACAAGACAGAGACGAAGACGTCCGGGCCTTAAAAAGATCATTCCCAAAACTTTCAATTGAAGCCGAGCAGCTCACCGAAAGCTACAAGCGCATCAAGACAGAGACTGGCTCTATACAGCTGGATCAACATAACGATGTCAACGTTGATTCAGCAGAGCAGGCAACACCAAATCCTCAAGTTCCAGCCTTCCAAAGCCAGGGGCAGTTAAGCGTTGAAACAATTGCAAGGCATGTGGCTGCTCATCTTCAAGGAATAATGCTTTTCTCCCTTCGTATGATTTCCCTAGATGCTGCCACAGACAAGTCAACAGATGATAGGGATATATCAGGTGATACTGACGATGATTTGTCCCGCCTTGGCTCACATCAAAAACCCTCTCTTCCGGAGACTCAAGAGACAGAGACTATCGCCAATGATTTGTTGGTACAAGAAAGCATGGATGCCGATGACCCTTTGTTAGAAAATGCCATTCCAGACTGCGAGCATGACATGAATTGGCAAGAATTCATTCCCAATAGCGAGCCTCCTCCAGAAGCCGATACGTTTCTACAACAAGTGATAGATTCTGGGGCGTTTCAAACTAGAGAGCAGTCTCCATCTCGTATAGCTACTATTAGCAAAGCATCTGAAAAACCCCCTTTGATAGGTAAGCAAACAATAGACAACTTGAGCTGTTACCCAGCAGAAACTGACATCCTTAGCACGGCCTCGCACACCACCGGCGACCATCATAATATTTCCTTTCCGCCATGATCCCGGTTTCATTGGCCATGGAGCTATTCTCGATGACCTCGTCAACGCATGCTCTACACGTCCCGCTCGTTTGGCCCTTGTTGGCCTAGGCGGCATTGGCAAAACTCAATTGGCTATTGAGCTTGCCTATCGGTTGGTAAAGTTGGCGAAAATGTCTGTATTCTGGGTCCATGCCGAAAGTCGGTCGAGCATCAACCAAAGCTTCAAACAAATTGCGTCCAATGTCAGCCCGTGGGGACAAGTGGACTCGGTAGAAGCTTGGTTGCGACATTCATCTGAGTGGCTCTCCAAAGAACGAAATGGTCGATGGGTAATGATTCTAGATGGCGCCAACGATCACAGCATTTTCCAAGACGAGCTCTACTTGCCGAAGAGTCGAAATGGGACAATCATCGTCACAACTCGCCGTAGAGACGTGGCATACAGACTAACTGGAAACAAGCAAGATGTGGTTGAAATTGGACCCTTGTCAGTGTTTGAAGCCGTCACTCTCCTGGAAACGAAATTGGGACGGGCGGGAAAAGAGCGATTTCCTAAGAATGGCGCAGCGAGTGGTCTCGTAAAATCACTTGGGTTGATTCCACTGGCTATTTGCCGAGCGGCAGCATATATACAGTCTATACCGCTCCCCAGCTCTCTAAGCGACTCGTCAGTTGCATTAAACAGGCCAACTTTCCCAGCCGCCAGCTCCAAGCATGACCCCTTGACCAATCCGCATGCGATTAGCGATGATCCGGGAGAGAGCACTCCCACCACTTGCGTTAACTGCTTCACCCAGACAACTCCGCTTTGGAGGCGAAACTCCACCGGTCAGCCTCTTTGCAATGCCTGTGGCCTCTTCCTAAAGCTTCACGGTGTTATAAGACCTCTTGACTTAAAGACAGACGTTATTAAAAAGCGAAATAGAGCGTCGGCTAAGCCGCTTATTGAAAACAAGGATGATACTCTGAGCTACCCATCAGTTGACGATAATTCGTTGATTAAGCATCATCATACCCCAAAGAACTCTTTAACTAATTTATCTTCGCACCCCTTACATAATGATTCACCGCCGTCAAACCCCCAGCATGGCTCCTCGACCAATCTACATGCGATTAGTGATAATCCCGGAGAGAGCAGTACTCCTACTACTTGCGTCAACTGTTTCACCCAGACAACTCCGCTTTGGAGACGAAATTCCGACGGTCGGCCTCTCTGTAATGCCTGTGGCCTCTTCCTAAAGCTTCACGGTGTCATGCGGCCCCTCACCTTGAAAACAGACGTTATTAAAAAACGAAATAGAGCGTCGGCTAAGCCGATCATCAAAGATAAGGATGATGCTTCGAGTTACCTATTAGTCAACGATAGGCATCATCAGGCCGAACATGCCAAGATCATCCCGAGAAACCCTTTGACTAATTTATCTCCGAAATCCTCGCATCACGATGATTCGACGCCCCCGATAGTCGACTCAGACGAAGATGTTACTGGCGATACCTTCATGTATGAAGGTGATGAGGAAGACAACATCGCTGCTCATGGTCACTCTCATGCGGCTAACGATGTCAATGATTCTGATGATATTTACTCTGATGACGAGATGTTGTATCCGTCGGCAGAAGAGGTTTCAGCGGTAGCGACAGCGGAGGAGAAGACGGTAAGTTAATGATCCATCTGACTTTAAACCGTGCCACCTGCATTGCCAAATAGCTTAACACATTTACGATAGGCGCTACTTCATATTGAGGAGCAACTGGTCAAGTTAAGAGATAGCGAACAGGAAAAGATCAAGCTGCTAGAGTTTGAAGATTACAGCCCCGATAGAAGTGGACAGGTGCTGAGGAGCCTTCTTGGGACCTGGAGAACTTCATTCGATGCTATTCGCTCACAAAGTTCATCTGCAGCTAATCTCTTGTCGCTCATGAGCTTTTTTGATCGCCGAGGCATTCCAAAACGGTTGCTGAGACCCTTTAGACGAGGTCATGACCCTCAATTAACAGATGTTTCTCCCAGTGAAGACACCTTAGATGGGGCAAGTGGCGACTTAGACGTCTTATTATATCAGGACTTGGAGATATTACTAAACCACTGCCTCATCACAGCGAATGGGACGAAACAACTGTTCGAGATGCACGGGCTTGTCCAGCTATCTGTGAAGAAGAATCTGGACGCCTCTCATTTACAAACATTTGAGCAGCAATTTATTAAGAGGCTTGCAATGGTATTCCCGAAAAGCATCTACTCCAGCTGGGCAACCTGCGAAGAGCTCTTTGCCCATGTCCAAGCGGCAGCCAACTATCAACCAGTCCATCGTTTGCTGGAAGATTTTGCAAATCTTCTACACAACGGGGGCCGATTTGCGCGGCTACAAGGCAGATACGAGATTGCGATGCAATTGGCCGAACAAGCATTAACAGCGCGACAAAAGGCAGAGACGGATGATACGAAAACCTTGACACTAATTACGTTGATACTCATGGATCAAGGCCTTTATGACAGGGCTGAGGAGCTGCTCATGCAAGTAGTGGATGCATGTAAAAGCAGAAACCCTGATATTAACGATCCTCAAACCGAGATCAGCATGAACAGCCTGGCGTTGATATACAAGGCCAAGGGCAGATGGGCAGAAGCAGCAGGCATCCAAATCAGAATTTTGTTAAATCGAGCAAGTCATCTAGGACCAGAGTATCCAAGATATCTGGCAAGTAAAGCAAACTTGGCGTCAATATACAGAGCCCAAGGCGGGTACACGGACGCAGAGAGGACACAGAAAGAAGTGGTTGACAGCTACAGAAACAAATTTGGTCCGGATCACCACCTCACTCTGACCAGCTTGAATAACTTGGGGTCGATATACAGACTCCAGGGAAAGTTAGGAGAAGCTGAGACTCTCCAAGCACAAGCCCTCGTCTCCCTCAGGATGAAGCTCGGGGGAGAACACCCCGATACACTCACATGCATGAACAGCTTAGCATCAACATACAGGCTTCAAGGCCGCCTGTACGAAGCCGAATCTCTACAAAAAGAGGCATTGGAGATGCGAACGATAAAACTCGGGTCAGACCATCCCCATACGCTCGCCAGCATGAACAACCTCGCCTTGATATACTGCGCTCAAGGCAAACACCAAGTTGCTGCCAAGCTACAGTCGGAAGTGGTGGAGATTTGCAAGACGAAGCTCGGGCCAGAGCATCCTCATACTCTAACGAGCTTGAACAATATTGCTCTCATTTGGAAAAGCCAAGGTCGAGATGCGGATGGCAGGTGGAAGATGGACGAGTGTGCCGAGGCTCGATTGCGAGTTCTTGGCCAAAACCACCCGTATACCATTTCTTCTAGAGAAGCGGCAGAAAGCTGGTGGTCGTCCACTCGATATGCAAAGTTCCCAGACATCTCATAGAATCAAGTTTTCATTGGGATATTTATTATTGTATTGAAGAGCAAGGCTATAAGTCTAGAAACACGCTACCATCAATTCGTAAACTCGCATTGACAAGCTTCTTCTTCAGACTTTCCTCTACGAGTTCCGCTGTGCTGTCCTTGACCTCTTCTCCCAGCTGATCGATTCTCTCGTTCACCTCTTGTTCTAATCGCTCTATTGTCATGTCTGCTCGGTCATCAATGGCTTTGAACAGCTCCTCGGATTCAATTTTTACACCTGTTATGCAATCATCCAGTTGTTCACCAATTTCCTCTAGAATGTATTGATCACGATCAACGTCTAATGCATCCGAGACCTTGTCTTCGAGTTGCTTCAAACGATCCTCGATACTGTCGAGGCGATTGTTAATTCGACCCTCCATGCCCTCGATATGAGTGCAAATGCGACTCTCTATACCATCGAGATGGCTGCGGATGGATTTAAACAGATCATCATGAATTGCAGGAGATTTGTCGTTCGTAACATCAGAATCAATACGTCGGCGTTTATCTGGGAGGAATGGGTCAGTTCCATCGTTTCAAGGCAAAGAAACTAGGTAATGTGATTTAGGTGTGCTTACTAGAAACTTTTCCACTTTGTGGTTCGTCGTAGGATGGGGGAAGATCAGCCTGCATAGGTGCCTTTCCCACATGCCTGCTTAGATTAGCAACTTCGCCTCCTCTGCCGCCATACAATGACTCTAGATTGGAACATCTTTTGTTCGTCAAAGGCCGGTTATAAGCGGAACTTGGTGAGAAGAATCGGGTGACCAACTCCAGCCGCGCCTGTTTGGGTATGGTTATGTTGGAACTGTTGAGATGGACGGTGAATTCAGTCACGTTGGCCAAGGAGAGCACTGCGTTCAGTAGACCTTTGCTTCTCTGCTTCGACTCTAGAACATAGCCTTTGGGAATAATGAGAGATGGTTGTTGTGTGATGGAAAAGAACAAAGTCTGGCGACTGGCTTTGGAGGAGCTCGGCCCTGCGGATCTCCCACTATCCAACGTAATAGCTCGCACTGATTCGGGATGTATGAACAAAAAGATGGTGTGTTTCTGGCCTTTGGCTTTACTGCCTTTGTGGTGAATGTTGCAATAGAGCTTGAAAAGAGACGTGTTGGTCAAAGTGTCGAGGTAGATATCGAGATGGATGCCATCAGCATGCTGAGTTTGGTTGGTATCATCCTTCCACGTAACAGCATTATTCTGATAAGAGATGTTGGGCTCGATGGTCTCTGTATCGCAGTCGCTGGAGTCTGGCAAAGTCACGTCATCCTCTCTATTCTCGACGCCATCGGGATCCTTATCACGATTGGCCTGAGCCTCGTCTATGCCTTGCGGTATGTGATCACGGCTTGGACCTAAGACGTTAGTAGACCACCAAAAGCAGCGAGCGGGAAACGATGTAGGCAAAAGTCGCTGGCACACGGCCAGAGGCGAGACGGAATCGGATATAGTGGAAAGTCCCACCACTCCACCGGACGGCATTGATACAGAGAGAGAACTGCTAATAGCAACTGATGGGAGCGAGGAGTCACCGGCATGAAGCGAGTAACAACCTCCCGCAGAGTCAAAGCCCGAGGGCCATCGTCCACTTCTCACCACCAGCGGCCTACAAGACCCCGCCCATTTCAGCAGATTCACACAAGTGCAAACGTGCTGAGTATGCGACGGAATTTTATTGGTTTCCGCAATGGAGAACCTGGTCTTGCTTCGCAGGGGGCCGTCTCTGAACAAGCCATCGAGTAGAGCGGCACGGCAATCCACTTAGGCGTGTCGCCCAGTGGAATCACACAGGGACTGTTTCACTAACCCGATGGGAGACGAGAAAGGCTGCGTGGGATCGTCGTCGTCGGCGGCGATGCATGGCGATGCCATGGTCAGTCGGCGGTGATGTGATGCATGATGGAAGAAAATGGCTGGAGGAGATGCGACAATAGGCGATGAATGTACGCGTCGGGGTGGAAGAATTTCATTCCGTGATTGGAAGTCACGTGCACTGGGAATGCATGTGTTTTGTGGGGCATGATATCTTGATGAGTCAGCATCGTTCTCTTACCACTCTTGCCACTCTCTTGTCTTTACTGCGACACACGTTTGTAGCATTCAGAGGCAACCATATCTTTCTTTACTGGGAATCAACATGAATGTAAGTAAGAAAAGTGAATCTCGTATAAATTAACTCATAAAAATTACAGAGGCAAAATAAGACCTCAACATGCTAAAGAACTACATTGAATCAGTGCAAGAAACAGCTGAACGAAGCAGTGATGCCACCCAAAAGACATCAAATATTCAAGAAGAAATCTTGCTGCTCAGAAAGAAAGTCGTCAGTCATCAACATGTAATTCGAAAAATCCTTATACGCCCCATCCGGAAAGTGAAAAATGTCACTCATAGGTGAATCAGTCTGGGCAGTCCCCAGTGATGCTTCAAACTTTTCCGAGAGAGAGCAGGCATCTCCTTCTGGTATGCCCAATCCAAATAGTTCACTAATGTCCAAAGTTGAATCAGTCTCCTCTTCCTTCAACTTATGCAGATGCGCCGGAGTCAGTCTGAATAAGTCTGACCAGAACAAGTTGCTGTTGTCGTAGGGCTGGTCCCCTGCACCGCTTATACAGCTCAGTGCGACGCGGGATAGCTTCTTCAAAATAAGGTCGTACTGCTTCGCTTGGGGGCTGTAGGGCATAAAATGCTGCAGTATCTGGTTTGCCCTGTAGATGACAAGTTCGCATTCTCGGGCGTCGCCTAGTCGTCCGAAGTAGGCGGCACATACGGTCAATGCCGACACAAAAGTCCATGCACTGGATGTAGATGTAAAGTTAGCAAGTTCATACCAAATGATTTCATAGAGAGCTATAACTTACACAACCAGTGGCATATTGTTAAATAACACTCCATTGACATACAACTCATGTAGCAGCTGGATTGTCTTTAGAGCTGTATCAAACGAAGTCATGGCACCATGTTTGACATTCTTGTCAACCTCTGAAGATTCTTGACAACCACTATTCGACTCAGGGCTTTGAGTCGACTTTGGTGTTTTGTTGTATTTCGCCCTAAGGCAAGCGATCAGAAACGGCCTCGTCAACAGCATCATGCTGAAATAATAGTTGCAAGCAACTGTAGCATTCCGTATGATGAGCTGTCTCGTCTTAGGACACTTATGCTCTGGAAATGCCGCAGGGCTGATACTGCGAAGTTCAAAAGGCAGCGCTGTTCCCATTTCACGAAGCTGTCGAGAGAGCCGCTGGAGTCGCTCCAACGGCGCAGAATGTTTTGTGTATATCTCGAGGACGGTTTGTTTCAAAATCGAAAAGGCTCGTGCTGATTCGTACATTCCGAGCTGTTGGCACTTATCGGGATGCTTTGGGTCAGGTTGCCGGTTGTCTTCTTCTTCGGCTGAATCCACCGCAGCGGCCAATGGAGCTCGCCCCATCATTGCGCAGAAGAATAAATCGTGATAGCACAAGGTGCGCCAAATTCGCTTCCTATTTTAGCCGTATTAATAATATCGCATCTATTCGCACAAGGATGTGTTTCGTACCTCAGTTGTTTGTTCTCTTCGCATTGTGTAAAAGTAGCTTCAGCTCGATGATACCCCAGTGCTTTTGCCGCGCTGATTGCAATCCCCAGATTCAAGTGTGCTCCATCTCTTCGACAGCTGCCAAGCATGTATAAACTTATCAACATAAATGCCTGTGTTGTTTCCATACTAGGATACTCTGTCAGTTCCAAAAGTGCAATTCGTCGGCCGTGGTAAAAGAATGACTGAGAGCGGTGGTGATCTTGCGCAGAGTTGCTTCGTATTTGAGAAGCGGAGGCAAGCACGAGATACAGTATAGCAGCGCTGCTACTTGTGACTGAAATATTCCCATTGATCCAGCCGCTGAGCAGGTTTTCTACATAAGATCGGTCCATAATATCGAGGATGCCACAGGTCTATAAACAAGTTGACAAGTTAGCATAGTCAAAATAGAGTAGTTCCCTGGATTTGTGGGGAGATAATAGTACCGATGTGAAGAATGCTTGAACCAAAGCTTCCAAGTCGCCAAGATTCGCATTGCTATACGCCAACACACTTTCACCATCCGTCGACGGAACTTCTTCTACTACCGAGAGCGAAGAAAGTTCTTTGGCTGCATCAGCAAGTTCTTGTTCGCCCTGGATGAGTTCTTGTATGTTTTGGAGGAAAGAGAGCGCCGCGCAATCTCCATAGTACACTACAAATTCACAGAGCAGTTTAGTGAGCGATATCAAAATCATGAGCGCCCTTTTATCCTTTGTGTAGTTAGAAACCGGGGTGAATTCATAGCTACGTACTTGACTGCCCTTTCGTATCACGCATAGTGTTGGGGAGTTTTGGGATCGCAATGTGTATTCCATGCTTTTCATCATCTTCGTGGAGTTGCGTGCGCTTAATATGCGGGTCGGGATGATCGAATGATGAATTGTCTGCTTCTTTTGCATCCTTTTGTGTTGGTTTGGAAATGTCCGCGTCCGCGTCTTTTGGCCATCGCCGTTGGCGTCCGTATAAGCGTTTGTGTGATGAATAAGAACAGGCGGTGGATCTCTCCCGCTTAATACACTGGCTGCAAGGACACAGGCCATCGCATTTTGTCTTGTTGGTCTGGCAAAGGATGCATGCTTTCGCAATTCGTTTTCTCTCTTCGGCCACTTTATGGCGAGGCATGATGACGGTAAACAATTAGGTTTGAGGGAACAGAAGAGCAGGGGTTTCGGGTTATGACAACGATAAATAGGACTCAAAAAACGTTGCCCAGTTTATTACTCTAATAAAGCTGCTTATTTAATGCGGGGATCGCCTACGTTGACTAGGTTTGTCAGACTCACGCACACATCGCCAACTAAGATGCACTAGCCTCCGAACCGGTTCCTATTCCCCATTAGATAGCTATTGGCTGCGGATCTCCCGGCTTCGCTCTCTTATAGGATATGCGGCCGGCCGGCAGAAAAAAGAGAGCCACCAGGGCGCCTCCACGGACCTCTGGATAGTGATGAGTCCCGGGACCTGGCGAAGTCCACCCGGAGCCTTGCCACCCGGACATTCCCATCAACTCGGCTGATGAATCCAACTGAACGACGCAGTTGAGTTCGCCGTATGGGTGGAGGTGATACTGGCCGCGATATTCTTCTTGGCTATCCATGTAAACGGTCGTAATGCTAAAGTGACGGTTCAACTCAGACGGAGGACTGATCCTAGTGCGACGATACTTTGGACCATCTATCTCGTCGATTGCCACCCAACCTTCGTCGTTCTCGAGAGCTTGTCGAATTAGGTGACAGAAGTCATCATAGTATGGGTTTCCAGGACCGTAGTCTCGGTTCAGTGTCGCTTCAAGGTCTTTGCCCGGAGTTCTATAGGGAAATGAGTGCTCAAAGCATGATTTTGATGTTTTTGTCAAGATCCCTTACTTACAAGTCTTCAACTTCGGCCAAGAATTCTCGAGCCCGGTCGATGAGCTTTTGCTGATTGGGATGAATGTTGCGGGTTGTCTCCATTTTCACAATATGTAAGACAAGAATAGGTAGGACACCGACAATATTGACACGAAGACGCTGGGTATTGCTTCAATAAGTATTGGAGTATCGGTAGGGTTATAAACCTTGGATTCCAATACCTCGGATTCTAGTACCTCGGACTACGACAACTTGTTTACACATGATCATTCTTGTTATTCGCCATGAAGCCTCTGGTTTGGGATCTACAGGGTTGTTATTAGCGCCGGATACGTTCCGGAAAGATGATCTGAATGACATAGGCAGCATTCATGAGCGATGCTTACTCCGGATAGCACGCTAATTCGCTAGTTTGAAGATTATCTAATAGAGCATGCGTGTACACTCTTATGAAGGCAAATGGAGCAGTAATGACTTCAGAGGATGGCAGGTTTTCGAATATTCCAGATCTATCCGAACAGATCATCGTTCCTCAAGATCCAGGCGAAGAGGATGTCAATTTCTTTCGGAAACAACCCCTTGCCATGGCAAAGACCTACGTTACGGATAGATGTATAACACCGATACTGGCATTATCAAGAAAGCTGTGCAATACTTCATAACTAGATCTTGTAGAAATTTCCTTTCATACTCTAACATTTTCTTTCTTCTATATCATGTAGTTCCAGATCTAAGTCTGCTAACCTCCATATTCTCATGTCTCATATCCTCGCTCTTTTTTGAGTTGGATGTCTTCTGTTTTTTGCAGCCGAGAATATGCTGCAGGCTGCATTTGATAGTCATCGCTGTTCCAACAGTTACTGGGAGACCCATTGGTCGAAACGTTTTGCAATATTTATGCATCGCTCGTCGACGAATCTCGTGTATAAGTTTGCCGCATACAAGTTGATTGTTGAGAGGATGATGTAGCCCCCAATCCAACAGACTGCGCCTGCAAATTTGTTCTCACTCGCGCCAACCTCGGATTCCGTTCCCCCTGTTGCTATGAACCAAAGCATATTCCTGACAGGATCGCTGAACAAGTGGTAGATAGATTGATGTACGAGGTATAGCGAGAAAGAAATCCTCCCCAAATACTGTACGAATTTGGAGTTGAGGGGGCGTTGAAGTACTTCTGTGGCGCTGATCGCAGAGACAACTAGCACAGAGCCAACCGTTTTCCACGACTTGTCAATTGTCCCCCAATTTCCGTCCCATCGCGAGGATTCGGCAATTTGTAAGAATTGATATCCCGGTGGGAGAGCACCGTCGTCGCTCAAGCAGAGAAACCAGATGCCGACGACGAACATGACCCACGTTTGGATGGTGCTGAAGTTGACGGATCGCGCCTGGATCGGGATATACGGTTTGAACCAGGCTAGATACTCTGCCTCGGTGCTAACAGTCTGCAACTCAGACAACACTTGCAGCTCAGCCAACCAATACCCCGCCAGAAATCCCACTACATCCCAATACCCAAAGTAGAACCAGTAAGCCATCGAAGCTACAAGCAGCCAAAGTCGAGGCCTCGGCTGCCAAAACGCCAGACTCAGGAGAGCGAGATACACGACGCAAGACCCGCGGAATTCGAGAGCCATAGTCCATAGCTGGCCATTGAGACCGCCGTTGTATTGGATGGCGATGATGTTGATGTTGTCGAGCATGTACCGAAACACAAAGGTAACATGGAACCAAGGTGCAATCCAAGGCTTCCGACCCCATACAATGTCATCTCCGGGTACCCAGGAAAAGAGATTGAGAAAGAAGAGGATCTGCGAAATGACGGTGATGCAGAATACAGGGAGGTAGATGCGTAAGCCGCGACGTGTGGCTGCCGAAGACAGTCGGCGAAGGAATCCCTCACTGTTATTGCCGGTCCTTAGTCGGATGAGATTAATTGAGATGGCGTAGCCCGAGATGACAAAGAACAAGGGCACCATGGCATGCGCAGCAAAGATCAAGCGAAAGGGAGGCAGCTGCATGAGTTTACGATTCTCCTCAGGCGGATCCGCCCAGAAGGACCTGAAGCCGGCGTGCAACACGGCGCCCATGAAATAGTGGTCAGTCGCCACAATGGCCGCCGCGATGCCCCGGAGGCCATCGAGCCAAACAGCTCGGCTCATGCTGCGCGTGTTTTATCAACCATTGACGGGGTTAAACAGAGATGAAGAAGTAGAAGAGAGATAGATGCCTGACTGATAGTCTTTCTGAGAAAATTAAAAAAGGGGTCCCGGGAGTTGCTGTTTCTAGAAAGGATGCTAGCGCGCTTCCTTCGGGCTATTTCTGGAGCCACTGTCAGCCTTGAGGCGTGGAAACGACAGACGTGGTGAAACCGAAACCCCGGCAGATCAAGATCTTTCTTTACGTTTATTGTGCGACGAACTAGTATATCAATATTAACTCGAAAAATGAGATTGGCTATTGACGGCGAGAATAATAGTGAGCATAATATCTATCAGGGAGCATTGATGTCAAAAGAGCAACAAAGAACAAGGGAAAGCAGCGGCAGATGATCACATAATACGAGCTGTTCAAGTCTGCCATCAGGCAGTACCTAAGGCACTTCAAGATTTCTACCTTCCGCTTTCAAAAGGGGAAGAAAAAAGAATATATATAAAAGGATTAGACAAATTTTCGGTTACTACACTACGTTTTATAGCGGAATTAGCTATCTGGCTGGTGCAGTTAACTATATTCGGACCTGTCGCATCTCTCATTGAGAGAAAAGTAAATCCACCCGCATAGCATCAGCTAGACCACAAAAAGTGTGCAGTATTTATCTTGGAAATCGTATCATATATATGCTGTAACTACTCCGTACATTGGTTGTATCATTTCAAAATATCGTAATAACTGTTGCTGCCCGGTAGCAACAACTCCATCTGAATCTGTTAGGCTGATTCAACTCAACACGAGGGTGCCCACTAATTACATCGGCAAGGCATACAATCCAGGCAGAAGCCCGACCAGAAGAATATTAGACTCAGGCCAAGCTCACCAAGATAAGAAGATGCTTGACCACAAAAAAAACTTCAATAATAGCAACTGTAACAGTTTATTGTAATTACCATTTTCCCTCCCTAGCAGGGATCTTTGCTACTCAATGTCGAATTGTCAAGTCTGCAATGATCTCAAACAAAAGAGATCGGGAGTGAGGCTCGCCATCGAATTTACATCCAGCGAATTAGATCAATCAGCACTTGTCAGAAAATGCCAATTCTGTTCTATTATGCGACAGGGAATTCTTCTTATGCAAGATGAAAGTTGGTCATTTGCGACGGATGTCTCTACTGTCAATGGCTATGCATTCTCCGGCGACACACTCTTCTTGGAAATCTACTTCCTCAAAGAAAAGCGAAAGCCAAGGGTCGTGATAGAGTTTTTCACTGACAAAGCTCGTAAGAATTATTTCACCCCTGTAATTATGCCTTATACTCACCAATAGCTTAGATCCGGATCTGATGCTAAGGAAAGTCTTCTGGCCAAGGTCGACTCGCAATGGCCACCCACTATCCAAACAAGCAATAGAGTGGGTGAAAACGAAAATGGAGGAGTGTGACATTGATCATCTATGTCATTCTTCAGATCTATCTCCCTTGCCAGACAGGGTCCTCTCACTCACAGCTCCGATTGAAGGCAACATCACGGTCAGGCTCACCGAACCAGTCAAAGGTCTAGGCAAATACGCTACTTTGAGTCACCGTTGGAGCTTGGATCACAACTTCATCACCACCATCGCGAACCTAGGTGACAGAAAAGAGGGAATACCGTGGGAAGAACTTCCAAAAACGTTTCAGGACACCGTTCGGTTCTGCTTGGAGCTTAACATATCCTACCTCTGGATTGACGCGCTTTGCATTGTTCAAGACGACCCGGTGGATTGGGAGATTCAATCCGCAAAAATGGCCGACATTTACCATCAGTCATGTCTCACGCTGGCTGCAACTTGGTCTGATTCCAACTCGTCTGGATGCTTCCCAACTCAGACAGATGAATACGCCGAGCACTCATTGGAAGTTACAAATTCGGCTCAAGACAACTTCTCGCTCAAAGTTCGTCGTAAGCTTCCCCATTGGGCCACCAATCCAACGGCGATGCCAACACGGGACAATCCGCTGCTCTCCAGAGCCTGGGTATTCCAGGAACGAGTGTTGTCGCCAAGAGTCCTTCATTTCTGCCTACGGGAGATGATTTGGGAGTGTTGTGAACACACAATCTGCGAATGTGGAGGGTTGTCGAACAGTCTCAATCTGAAATCATTATTCGCGATTGCGTCACAGCTGAAAATCAGCAGTAACCAGCCCGAAAGCGAAAGTGAAAGTTCAAGAAGAGAGGACGCTGTACAACCTGTGATCTCACAAGTGAATGAGCGACAGTCAATTGGAAGACTCGATCCGGATTTTGATGAGGTCAATGATCAACTTGATACTCGAGAGCAGAGACTCAGAGCATCACGAGAGGATGCCTTGAAGACTTACAACCTACAAATGAAAGAGATACTTGTGCCTCTCAAACAGTGGCATGGTCTCGTCGAGCACTACTCCAAGCTAAAGTTGACGAAACAGACTGATCGCCTCCCAGCGCTGTCAGGTCTTGCGCATCGTATGGCTCCTTTCCTTGGCGAATATCATGCTGGGCTATGGAAGTCATCCCTATTTCGCGATCTTGCTTGGGCTGCCGATAAACCTTCAAGTCATCTGAATCGCTCTCGGGAATACATTGGCCCTTCCTGGTCATGGGTGTCTGTAAATGCAGGCGTTCGCTATTTGAACGCAGAAGACATTTGGTTCTCACCCGAACAGTACCACGTCCGTAATACGGACCATTCCCGGCAAAAATCATCTTACCGACGGCCAATAATTCGTTCGGTTCAAGTCAAGGCCAAAGGGAAGAACTACTATGGCGAAGTTTCATCCGCCACCTTAGTTGTTTCAGGTCTTTTACGCTCAACCACCTTGGTTGTCAACCCAGCCTTCCTATCGCCAAGGGATATGACCACCTTTGAACTGGAGATAGGGCTTTCCGAAGCTTCTTCGTGCAAAGTACCGTCCGTAAGATTGCCGTTTTCAGCAGATTATCTGCCCAATGAGCGAATTAGACGCGATTCAGGCGCACTCTATCTCTTTGCACTCTTCCCCAGAGTATGTCTTGTTTTGTCTGATACGCGCCTGCGGAGGGAAGAATTGAAGGTTTACCAACGCGTCGGGATTGTTCAGTTGACTGAGCACCTTGAATCAAGGTATGGAATTGACTGGTTATATGGCGCGCAACGCTGTGATATTATGATAATTTAGCTCAAAAAATACACACCACCATAGGTAGTAGAGAATCCAGGGTCCCGTCAAGCTTTTTTCAGGGGTTCAATATCTTCTACTTCATGCATACCAGGACTTTAAATTTAGCGGCATATAATACCTACGGTATTGGGTGTTTACTAATTTCATCCTCCCCATGGTTAAGGGCCACTGATGCCTATAAGACAGAACTGGAGTATATCAGCGACACAGATTGAGGAGAACCCTAATCCAAACTCCAAGAGAACTATTATCGCAATCATAAGATACTTAATCATATTATCTATATGTTTAACTAATTAAGCGTTGTTTGTATGTATCAACAATAACACTAGACTGGTTACTTGCTCCGAACTCGTCGTGCTGCTCTTCCACTTTCCAGTCATACCCATTAACAATAGCAAGAATCCTTATCCGAATAGTAGTATTTTCAAGCAGATAGACCAATGCTTTTATTAACCTCTTTTGATGCTTTGTTTTTGTGCTTGACTTGCATTGATCTACACGGTCTAGGATAATCCATACCGTTTTATTCTGGTTAATCATCTTCAGAATCCTGACAGCTGCCTTTCGGAGAAGTGTATCAGTTACGTCGCTGTAATCATGCAAAGTATGTTTTAATCCTCCGGTTTCAGTCGCATTCTGGTACTTTTGGATTTCCGTGTGTAATTCTGCATACTGAGTATCATCCTGTAAAGCTTCATTGGTTTGTCTTAGTAGCTGAAATAAAATGCACCAGAGGACCTGAGAGAATGAATCATGATCGCGTTGCCCAAGAATGTAGAAAGCGTATACGTTATTATCCTGCGATCCTCTCAGACTTTTGATTGTATCCAATGCAAAGGGAGAGAGCCAGCACATCCCGGAGTAGATGTCGTGGTTATATCCTGCCAAAATCAGTGTGCATGAATGTTCAGAATATCGCCATTGGCGTATTTTCGGGTTATTTCTGAAGGCTTCAAGTCGAGACCCTTTCATAACCTCTAATAAAGAACATTGCTGATCGAAATATGCATCGGTATTACGGTGATACCTCTGTAGCAGTTCCCATTCATACTCCTGAGAGTATATTTCCAGATGTAGTAGCTTCTGGATCGCCAGCAGACGATCGTTATCACGCCCTATCTGCAGTTCTGAAATGTTTGTGAGTACAATACCAAGCATATCATATGGGCGCTATTGAGTAAGCTTACTTTCTATTTGTTCTTGAAGGCCTTTGGATATTCATGAGTTGATAATTGCGAGAAGTTTCACCATGTAGAGGGAACTTACGTTTAATTTCTTCCATCTGGTCTATGGCCGACGTCAGCATGTGCCTTCTGGAATGGAAGAAGGGACTAACCAAGATTAATTTGTTTGATTCTATCGACATTTTTGCTTAATAGCTCTTCGCTGGTATATCTCACATCCACGAGAGACCTTTGGACCTCAGATGCTCGATCTTCCAAAGAATGTGAAAAGCTCCAGGTAATTCTAAGCCATCGCCCTGAACGAATAAGCGGACGCCATTAGTATAGGATGATAAAGATACTAACTCATGCTTCCACTAGAGTAAAATCTTGTAGCTTCTATGCAAAAACTCATAAAGCTTTTATAAGCCTGGACAATTTTGGACTGTAGTTGCTGATCAAGTTCATGATCGTCGTCATAAATATGCCGAAATACTTCTAGTCCAGCGGTTCTGTCTCTGATTTGAAGTAGTGTATCATATATGCTAGCCTCTAATTTGGCTCGGTTTCTGATAACCTGAGAAGTTTGATTAGTTTAATTTGACATGAACAATGGCAAAGATTCATACGGTAAACAAAAAAGAGATTACTCCAATGGCCATTCCACCATACGGCGCGCCAAAGTCTTGTACGAGCTGCACGATAGGGTTCATGTGCTGTAAGACATCGTAGGCAGATTCTGCAAACTGCTGAGTTCTTCGAGCTGCAAGCCCAACTCCATGCTCATGGCTCGCTTCGAATTTGCCTCTTGAATCGATGGCCAGATTCCATTGTTTTATAAACGCGGGAACGCTGTCAATCTGTAAAGCGTACTTCTCTTCTTCTGAGAACTGACTGTGTTTGTTGATAAAGGCGTAAAGCTGTTTCTGTTCTTCATCTGTCTTTTGTATCACAGCCCTGAAACGCAAGTTAATTATAAGTGTGCACAAAGAAGCCTTTGTGTATTGTGGCGTACATATCCCTGTTGCTAAATCCCCTTTTTGCTTTCGATGGGATGTTTTCTTGATCCATTTCCATAGACGGCCTAGCAGAATTGGGTGGAGCAATCAGGTATGGCAATGTAGCAGAAGCTTGGATACGAAATGGAGATGCTATCTCAAATCTGCCAAATAAGAAACAATTCCTGAATCAGAGACTCGAATCTGGGACCTCATGTACTTGTCTGTGGCCTTGAAGAACATGCGTGGCTTAGTATATGTAAGCAAAACCACTGATATTACTAGTTACCTTTGTCTTTCAGCCGCGCGCTATGGCAGCGTCATCATAGGCAACTAGTGGAGAAACTGCCGAGAACGTACCTTGTATAAGCTGTGTTTTTGGCTCTTGGAAAGAAGGGGAATTAAATCGCGCACAAAAGCTGCGATCCTGCCATATCTCTGTTCTCCAGGTCAGTGAAGGATTCACATATCCCACATATTCCTGCAGTTGATATAATTTGAGGGGTCAAGTAATACACCCAACACGCATACAAGCTGCACCGGCGATGGCCTATTTTGGCTGTCCAACTTCGCGTGCCATTACATCCATCTGCAGCATAAGCGCCAGGGCCCCGCCAAATCATCACCGAAGCTTTATTCCATTGGTCTACTATTAATACATTTAATATAATTCAGCGGCAAATGTAACACAAACAAATCCCAAACCAATTTCATTGCATAGGTAGTTTGTTACGCGAAGATACTTAGCCAGTCGATGCCTCCGCCAATAGGTATATACCTATATATATGTAATTTTAGTTTCCAAGGCGCAACACAAACAAAGATCCTCCAGCCTGTACAGCCGTGCTTTTAGCCGCATTTTCCTTTGTACTAATCGAGACAATACTCAACGATCCAGTGGAGATAAGTGCATTTGTATCTCCATCATGGCCTTCTCTGTGGAAGCGGACCCGGCGTCCGTAAGTGATCCTCTTGTCAGTACTAGCTATATAGTATCCAAATCGTCCTCGTTACTAAATCAGAAAAAAAATTATTAAGGATCTGGGATCGAAATTGATGGCCCTCGAGAAACGATTAGAAGAAATGGAGATGAAATACCAGTCCCTTCTCAATACAACTAAGCAAAATGCAAAAGAGTCTGAAGCAAAAGATCGTGACTCGACGGAGGTATGAACACACACACACCCACCTCCGAATACCCCCACAATAGTGCTAATAAGACTTCAAAATAACTGTAGGAACAAATTGACACTGTTAATTCCGAGACGAAAACTAAGATTCACAGTGTAAGTTGGTGATCAAACTCATCTACCACAATGCTCTAATATGTCCCCTAGGAAGAGGCCAGTCCAAACACTAGAGTCAAAATTATCAAAGCAACGAAAGACCCGGAGACAGGCGAACGTGTTGAACACCCAGATGATTTTCAAAACACAAAGCTAGATGATAGGAACAACTTCGCCTTCATCCTGAAGAAAACAGTGCATAACAAGTTCTCTAGTCACGAAGACACCTCTGAGATTGATATAGTCAACCTGAAATTATGGGAGCTCTTGAAGGAACATCTTGGTAGTCATCCCTTTCACTACTTCCGCGGATCGCCTGTCACACTCTTTTCTCCTTATGAAGCTATCGTTTATGAGTGGGATATACTGGTAAACGCCGCAGCACAGCCTCCAAAGGATGACGAAGATAAGCAAGCGCGAGGAGATTTGAGAATTCTCTTGGATGTTATCTCTGGTGGTTCTTGCGGTGATGCTAAACTGGATAAATATTTCAAAGTACGAGATTTGTCTTTGAAGGAATCGACTGTTCAGTTTGACGACCTATGGACGATATTCCCTCCTGGAATGTTGGTTTATGGCAAACCTTTCCAGGAACAAGATCAAGTGTTTGTTGTTCGAGACATTAAAACTAACTGGCCAGAGCGCGATGACCGTCCACAACAATACTTGCCTTGGAGGCTAGATTGTTGGACGTACGATTGGACTGGCCTCAAATTTCAGAGAACTGCCTTCACACTCTTATTTGAACCATTTGAGGGTCACAAGCCCATCAAAGCTCTACCATACTATCCCTTCAAACTCAAGGTTGATGAAGATAAGTCAATCGAGAATGTGTTAATTGAGCGTGGCAAGAGATTTCGATCTCTATGCACCGCAAAAGAAGGATCGCAGCTTTTCGAGTATAGCGGCCAAACTATCTTTGGAAAGAAAGGATTCTCCGGATTGGGCGATGATGTGAGTTGCCTTCGTGATTATATTATAAGTGCTGTATTTAACTTAATTACTAGGATGACGGTGATACCCGATCGAGAACTATGAGGTTGGAGTTTGACCACCTTGTGAAAAGTCGTCGCGGCCCCATGGAGTCGGCTGGCGTGAAATCTTCCTTTGTAAGTCATGGCATCCCAAGAGCAATGGTGATTCTAACGGTTATTGTAGGTGAACAGCAGAGTTATGGTCGATCATCTATCGTACTTCCAATATGGTCCTCCAATTGGTCGTAATGGAGACCTAGAGCCAAGTTCTGGCAGCGCGGACTGTGTGTGCGCTGATTGCCAACAGAATGAGGGCTTAGCCATCAAGTACAGGACTCGGTTCGACAAAACGGAAGTTCAGGGGAACGAAATTTGGGAAGATGAACAATACATGATCTGCCCTCCTCGTGTTCTTGGCTATGTCCTTGAGGAGAAACTATGGGCACAGCTTCAAACGACCCTTGTCAAGGATATTCCATTCGATAGTAAACAGGATGCTTGGCACAACCGACTACATCTCGACGACGATGGAGAGAAAAAAGAATTGCTCTTCAATCTTGTACGCAGCCATATTTCAGAAACAAATCAAGCGAAGAGAACTAGAGACGCTCTCGAAGTTGACGACATTATTCCAGGAAAGGGGAAGGGCCTGGTTATCCTTTTATACGGTATGAATCACTACAATAATTGGAATTTTATGCTGACTAGACAATGTGCGAAGGCCCGCCCGGAGTTGGGAAAACGTCAACAGCAGAAACTATCGCTCTTTCCACTCGCAAACCTCTCTTTTCTATTAGTGTGGCCGACGTCGGGACTAAAGCGTGGCGTGTAGAGTCTAATCTATCCAGAATATTCTCCTTAGCGACCACATGGCAAGCAATCCTGTTAATGTGAGTGATGACAACCCAGCTATCCTTCATCTTCACTTCCCTCTTAACACTAACAATAATGGCTATCTAGTGACGAAGCCGATGTCTTCTTGGAAAGTCGAGGAAGAGGTGGCATATCCACGGACAGAAATGCCCTTGTTTCGGGTAAATGAGGCTCCCTAGAATGAGCGTATCCTCCGGCTGATATTATCTAGTGTTTCTTCGAGTCCTTGAGTATTACCAAGGAATCATGTTCCTGACAACAAACCAAATCGCCCAGTTTGATGTTGCCATTCCATCTCGGATCCACGTTTCTATCCAATACAACAGCCTCAAGCCGAAACAGATGAAGAATATCTTTAGTGGTTTTCTTGACCCCCTTGATGACAAAGGCCTGGTTGATAACTATAAAGAGATCAAGGAATGGCTCAACGACGACGTGTATGATATCGGATTTGATGGTCGACAGATTCGTAATATTGTCACTGCTTCGTTAGGATTAGCGCGCGCGGAGCAGAAATATAACGGCGGCAATGGCAAGCTCAAGAAGAGTCATTTGAAGGCTATTGCTAACAATTCCCGCTCATTCAAAACGGATTTTACAGTACAATATGACCGGTATATCAACAGCCAGGAAAGGTTAATCCGCTAGTTGAAAGTGGAGCATTTGATTCAGATGCCAAGGTTCAAAAGGAAACATGTGCAGTTAATTCAAAGCCAAAGCATTCTTTCACGAAGAAACGGAAACGGGAATGGGCGGTTTGAGTCAGGCTTCGATTGGTGTGTAAGTTGAGCGCAGGAATCCGCTTCATAGACTAGCCAACTTCGGCGGATTACTACTGGTAGATACCCAGTAGCTACATGTAGTGAGTGACCATCAGCAAACACTAGCTGTTACATTCTTTTGCATTTTTGCTGTATTTGTGCCCCTTGGGAATTTGAGGCCGATGACTCCTATGATCAAGCACATACAACCATAGGTAGTGGAGAATTTGGAGTCTCGTCAAGCACTTCTCTTGAGTGCAATGGATGTCTTCCATTCTTGACATCCTATAGCTCCAAACCTGTAGTTAAAAAGAATTGTACGTTCCTCTACAAATAGAGGATATTTCTTTCCTGTTTATATATTCCTATTTAAACCACACAGCTATTCATCCGCACTCGGATGCTTCCTTTCAGGTATTATGCTTCCAGGCCTCTGACATTACCTGATATATACATTTAATTTAATATTTTTGTCAATGCCTAACAAGGAAAACAGACAGATAGTATAGCAGTTTCTAGCACAATTGTCTACTAGATAATACTAATACAACCCCCACTCAACGTACTGACTACCCGCATCACCAGCACACTCCATATATCCTTTCGCGCCGACTTGACCGCCACCGCCATACAGTGCGATTGACTGAGTAATGATGTTAACGATATCCTGACTGCCAGTTTGGTAAGTGACATCGCCAGTCACGCCGCTGTTGTCGACGCCAAAGTGGCAGGAGCCGAACGAAGCAATGTCACGCTGCGAGCCGATGCCAGTGTTCCACGAGCCGCTGGTGCCCTGGATGTTCTTGATGATGGTCTGGCAGTCGGACACCGTCGGCGAGGCAGAGCTGGTCTGGTCCACGTAGGTGTAGCTGCTGCACTTGGTCACGCCCTGCAGCGGATTGCATGGGTATCCTGGGGCGGTGGCGTTGGACTGCGAGGGATTCGTCCACGAGGCCCAGGCAACTTGGGGGCTACACACCGGGAGAGTGATGTAGCCGGGCGTTGTGATGTCCTGGTTTGCGAGGTCTTGGAGAGTCTGCGAGTCCGCCGGGTTGGCGGCAGGCGCCCCGTTGGTATTGCCGTTGGCGACGTATGTTCTCACGGATCCCGCAATGAGGTCAGACAGAGTGATACCTCCCCATTTCGAGCCGAGGCTGTCCAGTCCCTTTGGAGCAGTGAAGAGGGAATCAGTACACGGTGGTGGTGGTGGATCAACGGTGTCAACAGTAAGCGCAATATCCTCGCCAGTACAGCCATGATAATCGCCGGCGGCAGAGACCAGATAGTACAGATTGCCATTGTAGCATGAATAGGTGGCCTCTGCGGTGTCGTTGCTCATGTACTGGCCCAGAGGGTTCACCGTGCCGCAGGGATAGCCCGAGTCGACAACGAAGGCAGCAGCACCAGAGACGGTCCAAATGGCCGGGATGGCGAACCCGAACAAGGCTCTTTCCACGTATTTTTCCAGGCTCTGGTATGTGCTGTTGTCGAAAGGGTCGTTTTGCAACGGGGAAGAGCCATCACACTCAATGAGATTACCATTACCAATTAGGGTCCCGAGGAGAGCGATGGATGCTTCTGATCCATTGAATAAGGCAGCGAGCTGATTTTCGACGATGGTAGTCCAGCCAACAATCGCTCCTCCCATAGTTTCGCTGAAGGAGGACTGAGACCGTGCTGACCAATGCGTTCTGCAAATAAATTTGATCAGCCAATTGCTCTCGTCGATATCAATCCAGAACAAAGCGTAGGCTGCCGTGAAGGACATCCTGATTCGATGATGTTTCAATGAAAAGGGATGATGGCACTTACTCTCCACCGTCATCGAGTGTAATGGTAATGATGGCGGCTCCGAACGCGAGGGTCGCATAGGTAATATCTTTGACCGTGTCGGCGGCGGCTTCTCCTAGAGCTTCAAGAGCTGGCAGAGCTCCAAAGACTATGAGGCAATTAGCAGTTGCGGATGTGATGACTGAGGAAGCAATGGCTGTTTGACTCACCTCCGTCGAAGAATGGCGCGGCGATTGCAGTAAGGCCGAGACCTACAAGGTTGGTCAAGATCAGCTCCCACTCGGGGTCCTCTTCCGGAGGCACCGGTGCGAAGGTGTTCTCAAAGTCCGTGAGTGCGTTGTCGATGTAGTTTGAAGAAGCATAACCGATAGCGGCGTAGAACTGGCTGTATATCTAAATTATGGGTTCATGTCAGCTACTCTCATCATGCCGGCAACAGCACTTCAACGATATCTCTCTTCCCCTCTCTCCCTCTCTACTACACTATACCATCTTTTTCTCACACGAGGAGGGACGCTTACCTCGTTGATGATCACAAAAGAATTATACACCAGATAGCCCGCGACGCCGGAACCACCATTGTCGCCGGTGCCTTGAATATAATCACAAGTTTGAGTCTGGTCACAATTGCTCGGAGAGATTCTTCCACAGTCTATCTCTTCGGAGCCGTGAAATGTGTTCATGACGGACAAGCTGAAGGTAGTCCTGTTGCTATCATACTGGTTCCAAACTGCGATGGCGTCACTCCAAGCGTCGTTGCAGTCCAACTGCGACCAGCGCTGGGAGCAACCCATAAACAGCGCTCCTTGCACAGCGGGGTCACTACAGGTCAGTTTAGTCCAGTTGCCGTGACGGGTGCCTTCTTCAGAGGGGTCTGTCCCCAAGAGGATGTCGCTGATCAGGATACCCCAGTTCGAGACGGTGTAGGGAGGATCATTGTACTCTTGCAGATCGGTAGCCCAGTCAGTCGTGCCACCCATCGCCAGGCCCTTGTAGAGCGATGCTCGCGAGGCCTTGATGCCGTTGCTCATCCAGCCGACCCATTGAATGTCGTCGTAGACAAGAATATTGGTGTTGCTAGTTGGGTCAATGAAGTTCTGGTTGACCCGGCTAGAGTTGGCGAGGATTTCCTGGATCTCGGCATTGGAGATGTAGCCCGCGGTTTGAGTACAAATACCAGGTTCAGCTTGCGAGTCATCAGCTGAGCCCAGGAATGTGCAATCTGGCCCATAACAGCCCGCTTCAGCCATGGCGAATGATCGTCCGTAGCTGGTCGTGCCGACTACAACCTTGTTAGAGGGGACACCGGCTTTGGTGATCTATCGACGCAAGAGTTTGCATTAGCGATAGAGAATAAAAGGGTCTCCAATAGTAAAGCGGCCGTTCCAACATAAACTCACCATGACCAACGCGCCGATTGTTTCGGTAAGGTTCACGTCCGTACGTAAACAGTTGCCAGTTGGGCAACCAAGCTGTGACCACGCATTCTGAGAATCCCACTATACAGGAAGAAGAGAACTCGACGTCAGTTTCCCATGTCGCAAAATTGCACCCGAGGTCAAGAGGGGCATCATACCTGTCCATGCAGATCGTACGTCATGTATATGATGTAGTCAAGGAGCGGAGCCATCTTCTCGATGGGAAAGCCCTGTAGATACCAGTATGACGCCGGAGCGGCAATTGTGATTTCTTTGCTGGGAAGAAGATTCCTCAGGATGGCGAGAAAAGCGAGGTAGTTCGTACCATCGCTAGTACTAGCCGGAGGGATGCCAGGGATATCTGGCGCCTATAATGAAATAAGGACGAAAAGATAATTAGCAATTTATCACACAAACAAACGCAGAGCAAGCAAAGGGGGTAAATATTCATACCCCTGGATACTCCCAGTCAATGTTGACACCGTCGAGATCATTATCGTTGATGAAGTTGGCAATATTAGTTGCCATGGTTAAACGATTGGGGGCGGTGACGCCCTCACGAAAGATGTTGTAAGTGCTGGGGTTGGTGGAAAAGTCCCAACCGCCGATAGACAAGATACGCTTTGCGCCCACGATCCGCCGAAACTCGTTGAATTCATAGAGAGTTGTGTCGTTGGGAATCTGGACCACATAGGACGGGGTAAGCACACCGAAAGCAAAATAGATGTGTGTGTAAGCATCAACATTGATCTGAGAGACGTCCTGGAAGAGGCAAGACCGCTGCAAATTGTATCCCTCGTAGAAGCCAATGCTCCTAAACGTCGCAGGAGGACTGCTCAGAACGATATTGGTGCCGCAATTGGAAATACAGCCATTGGTGCCTTTAGCCGCGGTTCCAGGGGCGCCCGTGCCTGTGTTGGTGCAGAAATCAGCCGTCGTACCGCACTGAGACTATCGTTAGCAACATGATGGACTGAATTGAGGGGTTGTGGCAAGGAACCGCTGTACTTACTTGGCCCCATACATCGCAGCAAGCATTCAGGGGACATGGGTTGAGCGTGGAGATGTTCGTTCCACTGGGGGGAGTCGGCGTGCCAGGGACCTGTGGCCCACAGAGAGCATTGGAGACAGGCGCCGGCATTGGCGGGTTGCCCTTACTTAGACAGATGATGTTGTTTGGAAAGAGGGGGCGGTTGCAGCCACCCCAAGCCCAGGTGTTGTTGTTGAAGTTGCCAAGTTCAGTCACCGTGAGGCTGTATGTCGCAGCAATGGTGGAACAGTCGTCATTCGGCTGGATGGTGTAAGTCGCGCAAGTGCCATCGGCTTGGGGCGGGGGAGCATAATTGGGCAATGTGCCAGCCGAACAGCAGACGTGTTCGCCCGGCTGGAGCGAGGAACACTCGTTTGAGGCGGGATTGTATTGGGTGAACTGAGCCGAGGTGATGCCACATCGCTGCGCTAAGGAGCCACAGCCATCACCATACACGACTTGGATGGTGGTACAGTTGGCACGCGGTGTGAGTGCTCTGTGCCCAACAGAGGCGGCATTGCCATGGGTCAAGGAAGAATTGTTGCTGGTGATGTTGGTGGAGGGAATGAATAGGGGCGTCACGAGGGGGATGGTGCCCGTGGCGTTCTGGACGACGGGGAATGTCAAGCATTCCGCCTTCGACCATGACTTGAGGGCGTCCTGTACCGCAGCAAAAGTTCCATTGCCAGTGGCTATCAAGCCGAAAATGTGATGCGAAGTCTGGCCAGGCTGGCAAAATTGCATCGCTACCTGAGCAGAATGGCTAGCGCTGGATGTGGCGATGGAGTTCTCCAAGTACGCCAGAGCGATGTTCCCGATGCCCCGGTTCTGCAGACCTTGGCCAATATAGAGGCCAACCGAGGTTGAGCCAAAGCTGGCGAAGAGAATGGTCGGATGGTCCGTGGCACCGAATCCGTTGGACAGATAATGGCGGATCTGGGTGGTGATTGTGGCAAGAGAAGTTGAGACGATAGAGCCAGGAGCTGAAGGCCAGGATCCAATCTCATATGTGCCATTCACGAGGACTGGGGCTTTTGCTGACTGCGAGCTGAGACTCGAAGTGTTGGCCGGCAAGTTTGCCCAGTCCGGGCCGAAAGAAGTGCAGGCGTAGATGCGGTGAACTTCATTAGCATCATCGACTGGGTCGAGGAAGGAGAAAGAGTAGAAGATGGACTCTTGGCATAAGGCAAACTGATTGAAGTTGCGGTATAGAGACCAGTTGGCAGGGTTGGGCCCCGTCACGGCACATCTTGCTGGACAAGCACTGGATCTGCCTTGATAACCCGGGCTCGCAGGTAGCCTAAGGGGCGTCGTTATCGCGGAAGATGTGCCAACGAAGAAGGACAATGAGGCAAGTGTCATGTATAGGAAGGCAAGGAAAGTGTCGCGTGGCCGAGGCCACGCGGAAGAGTTGGACAGCGGCATTGAATTATGCACGTATCGTGACTAGGAAAAAGAAGAGCAGATGCCAAGATGGCAAAGCAGATGATGGGCTTGACTAGCCCCGTGGGAGATGGGTAATTGTTGCCGTAGATTTTATACTGTTTGATGCTTGATCATGTTGTAACCCAATGTGCAACCTATGAGCTTCTAGTTGGAATAAAATGTAGAATATGTCTCCTTGACTGGCTATTAGCAGATAATTTATAAGGCCAAATCTGACAATTCACCTGTGCATAAAGAAGAAGAGTCGTAGTTTTACTATACCTCGAGGACAGCAACTGCAGAAGTAAGAATTGTATATATGCTCGCAAAGAGAAATGAAACAGAGTGAAAGTGTCGAGTACCGTATGAGTACAGAGGAATCTATTCCTTTTGTAAAGGATTTTCCAAATGCTTGTATGAATCACAAGACTCAAATATAACGAGTGGTGTAAACTTATTAAGGCTGTATCATAGCTGGTCTTTTACAGACTTTGAAGAGCTATATATTGATTTCAGAAACTCCCCTGGAAGCATATTGCACACCCATTGGAAGCAATCTTGGATGAAGGATAAATCGTATGATCGGAGAAGTTGCTTATAGCAGGTGTTCTCCGAGAAGACCGCTGTATGAAAGTCATGCCTATCCGCATGCAGACCATTGTATATAGCTGCCCATAGGTGGAATAGAACACAGAAAGGGTCATCTCTGCCGTGATAGCCGTATAGTAGAGGAAAATGAAAGAAAACTCTTCTCAAGATTAACAAATTTAGAAATTGTCCACGACCAACAGCTTCACAACCAACAGCTTCACGGCCAACAGACATAACAAAGACCACAGGAGACCCACGCAAGAGGTTCGGCGTTTAGTGCTGTGGGCAATAGTTAACGATGGATCCACCATGCCCAGGGATCAATCGCCAAGGAGCGGGAAGCAAGACTGGGGCCCGATCGGAATGCGGCACGGCGATTATGAAAAAGAGAAAAGAAAAAAGACAGGGGCAACGTCGAGGGGCCAGAAGCAGATAAAACTTTCACTAGGAGTTTTAATTCAAGAGAGGTGAAAGATACCGCCCAAATTGACCACTCTATAGACCGCTTCACATACCGTTCAAGTTAGAAACAGATATACTATCACTAGATTGTATAAGAGAAAAGGTTGCCAGTAAAGGAACAGGATTGGCGCATTCAGCTGCAATGAGGAGATTGAACCCGGTAATAACCAATAGGGCCGACGACTCCATGGCAATTCAGTAAAGCCTAATAGACAATCGAAGAGGATCCATGGAGAAACTTCATTTTGATTCCGGTGTTGGTGCGTTTGGCAACGCAAAGCCGAGGCATCGTGGGCCTGAATGACTCGCTCCCAGAGGGGTACAACGTTGCACTCACTAGACGCATCCCGCGGCACATCGGCGGATTGGCTACTGGCGGAATATACATGGTATAAACGCTAGGATAAGGCTGAAACGGCAGAGTGGTCAAATTGTTTGGCCTCATGGCCTTGTTTAACATGATCAGATCAGACCATTGGGATGGCCGCAGAGTCTTGGTTGCTACAAACGACGTCCATATCGGCAAGGATGTGCTGACAAGGGTACCCTGGAGTTTGAATCTTGGCTTCAGAACACGGCTTTTTCAGCGGTTTCCTCTTTGGTGACGGGGAATTATCCATGATACTTCCTGCGGAGATTAGCCTGCTTGGTCGAGGACTTTTTGTCGGTGGAGTGGCCAGGGGATAATAGTCAGTCACTCCTATCATTGGAGGGCGCTGATGAAGAAATTTCAGCTTGCAATTGATACCATGTTGAGAATTGGTCATCTATGTATGCTTTTTTGACAATGATGGCTCTCTTAAACTATCACAACGATCCGCATGGAATGAGCCCGCATAGGCCTATCCAGTTGTTCAGACTAGATCCAAGGATTTACGGTAAATCATGTGGGGGATCTACATACTATAGTCAATGCTAGAAAATCTTTTCCCTAACCGGCTTTTTCTCTACAAACTAACAACCTTAACAAGTCTTGGCAGGATCTGTTGATGATTGACGTTCGTACAATGAGGGCGCAATACGAGTAAATAATACCAAAGATTGAACACGCTCATCTTGTATATCACATGTATGTTGCCACAATTTCAATACAAGGAGAGGAAGAAGAGGAAGATGAGGAGGAGGAGGGTTAAAATATATCATCATCAAAGGCCAGCTAATTGCTACTTATAAAAGAAAGAAAAAGACCCGTGCCCGTCTTTCAATCAACCATGTAGAGCGCATGCATCTACCTCATGCAAGATGGATCAGGGCACCCAATGCAGCCAGCAGCGTGAGAAATGTCGACGCCGCTGCCACGCGAGGATCGGCTGCTGAAGGTTGACCGGGAGGCGGGCGCGGATCCAGGCAGGTGAGATTAGAACTGTAAGAGGAGCAGATAGCGCCTGTGTCTCTAGCCCAGGCGGATAGACTGGATGCAGCTGCAGAGTCGATTGTCGCCGCACATGGGTTGGTGGTTGGGCTGGGACCAAAATCATCACATTCCCCGGGAGAGGTTATGTTGAATGCTTGAGCCTGTGCGGCGCCACAAACGTCAGACGATGTAGCCGCCTCAAGATCGATTGCCTTTCCAGACTTGCTGACGGTGAAGACGGTTGTGAAGTTTTCGCTATGCGTTGGCTGTGGCGTTAGCCCGTTGCAACCGTTGTACTGCACGTACCAGGCGAGAGTCCAGACGCCGTCTGGGTAAGAAATGGTGTTGACAGCATCGCTGATCAGATACGGGTTCTTGGGCGTGGATCTCGCCGTAGTCACATCGCCGGCCACATCAAAACCACCCAGGCCGATAGATCCAGGCGACCCCGTGTTGTTGCCCTCCCACATGCGCCACTGGATTGAAACGCCCAGCGGGACAGCCAGAGATGAGTTCTGAACTGCAAAGACCACAGGCATCAGCCAGCTCGGAGCGTAAGTCTCATTGCGAGGGAATAGCAAGTCCACTTCAAGAGTGGCAGGAAGGGTGGGAAAAGTGCTCTTGGCACCCATTGCAGTCATCAAGCTGGCCAACAGCGCGACGAAGGCGAAGCGAACGTGGCTAGAAGCGCCCATGATGGAAGATGAGAACGCTTGAGGTTGAAGGGTATAGAATGAACGAAATGGCGGGTAGCCCGCACTGATTAGCTGATTGCCCAAGGATAAGAAAAGAGAGAAAAGAAGAGAATGCTGAGTTTGAGGGGGAAGACCATGGGGAAGAGAATAAGGAAGAAGAAAGCAACACCCATGGCGGTGCGGGTGGTGATGTCGAGATGGCCGTGTCGTTCGAGTCAACGGCGGCAGTTAGTTTCAACTACAGAATACAAAGTAGTACACGTACAAAAGATCCTTCTCTGGGGGTCTTCGGCTGCACCAATACTCTGTGTGAAAGGCACGGTTTCCCGGGAAAGACGGCACGGCACGCAGGAACCGTTTTATGTTGTTGGTTCACCCCTGTCCGATACCCTCTTGATCCTCCGGGACTTTGGTCCCCCACTGGTCGGTCTAATGGCAAACCAGATCCGCTAATTAGGTTCCCACAGATATTCTCCTCCAACCCCATAGCTTTATACCGGTTAAAGCAAGTCAAAAGAGAAGACAATCCACGCAGTATTTACCAGTCAATCTAGCAGAGCCAGTTACATTAACTATATTGATATCGACCTCGCTACATCATCGCAATTGTATATTTGTACAAAACACAGCTGTATTCGGTAGATTAGCCTAGACAAATTAGATAGCAATGAAGTCCGCGGGCGAACATACAAGCTTTGCGCCTTTTTACTTTACTCTAACACCCCTGCTAGAAAGACAACCCGGTTGATATTGTATAGGCTGCTATTTACAGACTATCTAACGTCTGTTGGTTCCCCCATGTTCTTCCCCCCCGAAGTTGGATCCAACAACTCTGCACTATACAAACATACGATGTAAGTTTGCCGTTTCCAGTGAGTTCATTGACCCATATGAAGAGAAAGACGGCTCTGGTGGCGACCTTTACTTACCACAAGTGGCAGGAGAGCCGTAGCAAGAACCCGAGTGTGGTATGTAACGTCGAAGACTTTTGGTTTTCTTGCCCGACCAACAGCAGCTGAATGTGAATTTGATAGCAGATGTGGCCAACAGGATGGATATCTCCGTCGCTTGATTCAGGAGAAAGGTTCTATCGTGGAGTGCTTCACGCTCTAGACCCGACGACGCCTCAGCACATCTCTTCGGACTGTCGCGACTTTTTTTTCTATCTCCACGGACCTCTAATCCGCGTGCGGCATATACTCCGTGCTATAGGAATCATGGCATGACATAGTATACTGCGCGCTGCGATGGATGCAACTTCCAGCCTCAACCGTGTCAAGACTCTCCAGGTGCGCTCTGGGTACAAAAGGGCCGTCTGCCATGCCCTTTTCCTTCGACGAGACAAGGCATTGCATCCTCTTCTCAACAGTCGTCTTCAGCATCACTCTGGTAACTTCTGAGTTGCTCTAAATCGTCATCTGTCCTTGAACAAGCATCAGCAATCATGATGGCGCCAACTCCCCTCAAGGCTGGCCTCCTCCTCCTCTCTCAGCTACACCTGACTCGGGCCATGATACTGGCCCCCCGTCAACAGGTCACTTGTAGCTTTGCAACCGCCGCCAGTTCTGGAGATACCTGTGACTCCTTTGCTTCTGAATGGGGCTTGACCGAGCAGACTTTTGAGTCTCTTAACCCTGGCGTCTCCTGCCCTAACCTCGTGGCCGGTCAGAACTATTGCGTGGTCGGCACAGTTTCATCTTCGCCGCCCTCGAGCTCCTCGTCTCAGTCGAGCACGAGCTCTTCGTCTTCGGCTCTGCCGGCCAAAACCTCCTCCACTCTCGTCACCTCCACGCGTGTGTCGACCACGTCGTCATCAACGACTTCAGACCAGCCGCAGCAGACGGGTACCGCCGCCAATTGTAACAAGTTTTACCTAGTTCAACCCGGTGACTCGTGCCCTGCTATTGAAAGCGAGTTTGGCATCAGTATGAGCCAATTCATTACCTGGAACCCATCGGTTAACACAGGTATGTCCCATTCTATGTTCTGATCAACTGTGCTCGCCAGGATGAAAAAAGAGGAGTAAGACACTGAGTTGCTAACACATTCTACAGGCTGTACAAACATCATCGCCGGCTACTACTACTGTGTCGGCGTCCCCGGCGCCTCCAAAGTGACCACCACCACCACGTCGACCAAAACCACCGGCAACGGCATCAGCACGCCCACTCCCATCCAGACCGGCATGACCACCAGCTGCAACAAGTTCTATCTTGTCCAGTCCGGCGACTCCTGTGCCGTCATCGCCACGACCTACAACGTCCCCCTCGCAACCTTTTACTCCTGGAATCCAGCTGTCGGCTCGTCCTGCGCGACCCTTGACGTCGGCTATTACGTCTGTGTCGACGCCATCGGCTACACGCCGCCGAAGACTACGACCACGACCACCAAGAAGACCTCGACAACCTCGTCGGGCAACGGCATCACGACGCCAACGCCCTTCGAAACGGGAATGGTGAACAACTGTAAAAAGTTCTACCTCGTCAAGTCGGGCGACTCATGCGCCACTATTGCTACCAGCCAAAAAACGACGGCTGCCAACATTGAGAAGTGGAATCCAGGCGTCGGATCTACCTGCACGACTCTGTGGCTAGGCGATTACATTTGCGTTGGCGTGTAAATACATGAGCTCGATTGTATAGTAGCAAGTAGTAGAGCGTATAGTTGTAGATTATATGAGTAATGGATAAGGATGATTTTACGAGAGTATGGGAATAGACAAAATTGCCGTGAAGTGTTAGCTACAATATATGAGTTTTTGAAGTTTCGTATAAAACGCCAACTGCTTTCTATAAAATGAATACAGTGAGCATGCTTTTTTAGGGTTGATAACCGGTAGCAAGTTCATATAGCATTATGTAGTGTAGTACTAATATTGCTTCAGTTGCAAACGAGCGCATACACGGCCATGAAAGTTTCGTTGGCAACGATGGCATGGGGATCCATTACCGGTCATACGGCTCTGGACCTCTCCTGGTTTTACAACACGGTTTCCCAGACAGAGAGGCGACCCAGAACACTTTTCAACCCCAAGAACTCGCAAAGAAATACACCGTTGTGACTCCCACACTGCGCGGATATCCACCCAATGATGTCCCACTAGAAAAGGAAGACTATGCTGCTACCGCCTATTTCGGACATGTTGGCGGTGATTAAAGCGGTTGGCAAAGGCTCCGCTGTCATTGTGGGACACGATGTTAGAGACGTTGTCGTACAAAAGTTTGCTTTGGCGCATTCGGACATGCTAATGGGCCTCGTTATGGTTAACACACCAATTATCCCAGTTTTCCTCCCCTTGACTGAGTTTGACAGCTACCAGCAACAGCTATCGGAATACACAATACCATACTATGCGTTCCTTCCAGGCCATCCAAAAAAAGTGTTTCCACCGTAGTGCAGCACATATTGAACGAAACATACCGCGATCAGATTGGAGACTACGTGCGCAAATTTCCTCTCTATGGGATGCTTGACTTTTACAACGAAAACTTTCCTGCGCCTCCATATGGACAGAACCTCAGTACTAAGGGCTTGGCTCAAACTGCCCCCAGCGCCATTATTTGAGGAGAGCTCGATCCATATTTTAGTCCGGCTATGCTCACAGGCCGCGAGGCTTGATTTGACTATGGAATTAGATTAGCGGTGATCCCAGGCGCCAGGCACTGGTTTTTCAGAGACAAGCCTACTCGGTTCAACGCGGAGCTAAAGTCTTTTCTCGAATTCCTTGAATAATAGGACTGGGTTCTAGAACCTCAATGGTTCATCAACAGTAGAGATATTATTTCTCAGGGACAAGAATGCGATGTCGCTCACGCTACTATGGCAATGAACAGTCGTATAATACTTCGGGATACATGGGTTAATAATTAAATCGTTATTTGCATCCTATGCAAATCGCTTTGATCTAAAATAGTATGTATCGTGCATGTGTCCGTAGATCAAGCTTATAATTGCGACTAACAACTTGGCGCACTTTGAAGATGGGAACACAGCTAATCAACAATTACAAACCCATTTCGTCTCATAACATTTACAGAAATTCCTCTCGATAGCCGCGTACAAAATCACTCATTTCTACTTCACTTGAGATGTTACACACTTTACTATAATGCTCTAGCTCTACAATACAACTGCTCTTCGAGATGCTCTTTTAGGCGCCTGCTCCGGACATTATCGGTACTTTTTAAATCGGCTGCAGCCACGTCCAGCCAATGAGCCACGGGCATTGAATGATATGCTTAGATTAGTGGTCGAATCAAAGAGCTGAACCAAACGATAGGGAAACAGACCAGCTAAATTTTCATTATGATCGCTCTGGCTAGCCTGGATGCGGAAGCTCGAAATGCTAACGTATGGAGAACGGCCGCTGAACTTTTGGCAGGTCGTCGGTGTCGCAATGCAGCAATCAGCATTGAATACTAGTCAGTGCAGTCTCAGAAAGCGTTTCAGCTCTACAATATATAAGAGGGGTAATGCTGCTGATGTTGAGAAATATCTCAGGTTGAGCAAAACTACTTCTTGTCAAACTCATCTATATTGTGAGTTAAAATGGCGTTGCGACATCTCGTCTTTGGAGCCGCTTGGGCCGCCGGATCTGCGTCGGCAGCCTCAGTAACATGCGCATCTAATTTGCCGCTGAGTTGCCAGAATACCACCGCCGTCAGCAATACTTGCTGCTTCAACTATCCAGGCGGCCAGCTTCTTCAGACACAATTTTGGGACACCAACCCATCCACGGGCCCTAGCAACTCATGGACTGTCCATGGCCTATGGTAAGACGCTTCCAAGTTATTTTAGCACGATTGATGCGCCCGTTGGCTGTTTCACTAACCGTTCAATTAGGCCAGACAACTGTGATGGAACCTTTCAGCAGAACTGCGACTCATCAAGAGCGTATACCAACATCTCCGCAATTCTAGCAAAATCAGCGCCTTCTACACTTTCTTTTATGCAGACATATTGGAAAGATATTTCGGGCAATGACGAGAGCTTTTGGGAGCACGAATTTGGCAAGCACGCTACATGCATCAGCACGCTTGATCCGGATTGCTACACCAACTATCAGCCAACCCAGGAAGTTGGGGACTTCTTCACGCGAACCGTGAGCTTGTTTCAAAGCCTTCCTTCGTATGACTGGCTTGCTGCAGCTGGCATTGTTCCTTCAAAAACTGCCACATACACTTTGGCTGCTATCCAGGCTGCTCTCACTGCACACCACGGTCACAACGTCGTCATTAATTGCGATAATGGCGAGCTCAATGAGCTGTGGTATCAGTTTAACGTCCGTGGATCTGTTCAAACCGGCACATTTACTCCTGTTGACCCCGTTGGCTCTGGGTCTACTTGCCCCAAGACGGGCATCAAATATCTGCCAAAGTCTGGTAGCCCTGCGCCTACAACGACTCTCAAGACAACTTCCAAAGCAGCGTCAAGCACTAAAAGCTCTGGCGCAGGATCCACCCCTCCACCAGGAGGAGTTCTGTCAGGCAAAGGATTCCTATATATCGATACCTCCAGCACAACGAGCGATGGCTTCCTCGTTAGCAGCGGAGCCTGGTATCGCGCTGGCGGTACTCCTGCCACATACACTGCCACTCCGAACGGTTCTACCTTTACACTCAGCTCAAGCAAGGGAAAGTGCGCTATCCTGAGCGACTCTTCCTTAAGCTGCAGTAGCTCTGTCTCTACTGCCAGCAGCTTTGGCTACGATGGCACCCACTTGACTTACCAGGGATCGGCCAAATTTTATGCAGCTGCAACTCCAAGCGGACAAGATCAAGGCACTGTCTTCGCAAGCAGTCACGCTGTTTCTGTGGCAATTGCATGGAATGCCCAATAAAGATTTTGAGACAGTTGCCCAGTACGGCGTATATCATGTAACGATCAAAAAAATAAATGGGTGCGTGACCGGATGATGGGTTAGGAGATAAAACACAGTCCTATTATAGGCACACCGGCCTTAGTCTTCTGAATGATGTTTAGCATCTGGAATGAATCATTATCAGGATGCTTGTCTAATGAGGTATCCATAATAAAAGACTCCTTTTCAACTGACGCGCCTTGCAACTGGTTTGCCCTCTTTTTAGTTTATTCTTGCTATCAGTTTGTCGCATACGACCATAGGTAGAGGAGAATTCGGGGTCTCGTTTGCTCCCCCATAGACAAGCTTCTAACCGGCAGATTAGTAGTTGAGTGGGTGACCATCAGCGAACACCGGCTGTGGTATGTTGTTTCTTTTTTGCATTTTTTGCCATTGAATTGCCGTTGTTGTGCGTTATTCTATCATTTGTAGTTAGGTGCTGCAATGCGGGTGAGACGGGCGCCCTCACGACCAATTTCGTAGACCATACTCAATAAGCTCCGCAGGATAAAGTAACATTCCAATATCTCTTAAACTATAAAACAAAAACTCAAGGTGTCCCTTTCAGTTCCTTTACAGTCAATAAAGTGTTTTATTATACATCTTAGAGTCAAAGAGTTGGCCACTCCCTCATGAGTCATTTACATGCAAAACTACATAAACCATCTTTTACAAAACAACAAGCTATATTAAGAATATATATTGTAATCCGCAGTGAATACCTGCAGCATATATTTAGAAAGAATAATATCCCATTTATTTTGTTTGGTGCTATTTTTCTTTTGGATACGTTCCCGAATAGATTCCGACTTCAACGCAGACTCAATAACTTCCATTTTCAGCATCTTTTGTTCCATTTTAACAGTTCTAAAACAAAGCCTTACCTGCATAAATCATTTTAGGCAGTTTGTCCAAAGAAGCCAATAAGACCGAGTCAAAGCAACTCCAGCGGTATCGGCGCCACAATATACGGTACCTTATATGGCCAGCCTTGCTCCTAGTACAACTAATCAATATACCTGGGTATTGTATCTTCAATCCTTCGTAAGCCACTCAAGCTCAGGGAACCCAATAGCTGTCCTCCTTCTGCAAATCTATATCAATAGCCCCACACTCATCCTGTTACTCACATATGAGCGACAGAATCTGCATGCCAGGTGCCATTACACCATTGGCTCTGAAGGATTGGTTGCTGCATATCACCGAACTCGAGCATACGTGTACCTATCAGATAGCAGTTATGATGTGTTTATTTATACACTCCACTTTGTATTTTGTTTGTAAGCTATTTGAATCGACTTCTACTGGCACAAGTACATGTACCTACTTTCAATGATTGTTATATCACGCTATAAATATATGTAGCCGCACATCTCCATTGATAATAGTTCAGCCCTTTCAAATACTTCAAACACACATCGTCCGTTAGCAATTACAACCCCTCGTCCTTTTGCCAAAATGATGGCGCTATCAGTCCGGGATTTCTACATAGGAATCATTTGCGCCTTGCCGCGAGAATTCGATGCTGTGACCTGCATGCTTGATACCGAATACAAGCCTCCTTTTGATCGACTGCCCCAGAGTGAAAATACTGCATATGTTTTCCGATACGGCCGCATGAGCGATCACAATGTTGCCATTGTATGTCTACCTTCGGGGAAAACTGGCACCATCTCGTCTGCCACAGTTTCCGTCAAGTTGATGGCCAATTTTCCGAACATCAAGTATGGCCTGATGGTTGGAATTGGCGGTGGAAGCCCTGGCCCAAGCCCAGAGAATGATATCCGACTAGGAGATATCGTGGTGAGCCAGCCAGGTGACAGATACGGGGGCGTAGTGCAATACGATTTTGGGAAACCCATTGCACAAGGAAAGTTTGTTAGGCATGGGGGAATCTTGAATAAGCCTCCTGATTATCTGCTGGGCGTCGCGGCGGAGCTCCTGACAAAAACACGTCCAAGGCAAGGCGAGAATCATGGACAACTTTCGTGATATGATTGCTCGCGATTCAAACAGGACTGAGTATTTTATGGCGCCCGATATTGGCACGGATGTCTTGTACGAAGCAACATATCAACATCTTGAAGGGCAGCAGACTTGCGAACAATGTGACGCGACAAAGGCGAGAATGCGACCAGAGCGAGCCCTTGAAGGCCCACTCATCCATCATGGACTGATCGCATCTGGAAACCAGGTGATGCGTGACGGAGTGACTCGAGATGCACTACGTGATGAATTGGGCGTAATGTGCTTCGAAATGGAGGGTGCAGGACTGATGGACAATCTCCCGTCGCTGGTAATCCGAGGCATCTGCGACTACGCCGATACAAGGCATGGCAAAATTATGCCGCTGCAATGGCGGCGGCATATGTTAAATCTTTTCTGCAATGCCTCCCTCCAGAAAAGGGTGAGTAAAGTTCCCGAAAACAGCGTGAGAATTAGCCTTCCATCTAACTACCATCTTAGGGCTCACTGACAATGACATCGAATCAGCCCACAGGTGGCTCTCAAAACACCCTGAAGGAGAGATTCACAAAGATAATTTGAGTAAACGACAAGATGGAACCAATCTTTCGTTCATTGAAAGCCGCAAGTTCAATGAGTGGCTCAATTCGTCGGAGAAAAGCTTCCTGTGGGTTAGAGGAATCCGTAAGTCGAGCGAAAAATCCCTGGTAAAATTGTTATCAGTGTATAATTATGGCTTACAATACCGAAGCGGGTGCTGGGAAGGCGATTATTGCGTAAGTAAACTCGTTATCTCATGAAAATGTGTGAGAAGTCATCACTTATGTCCATCTAGCTCTACGGTAATAGATACACTTCAAGCCCATGTCCAGACGCGAAACATTGCATTGGCCTTCTTCTATTGCACATTTACGAACAGCGAAACGACAGACTATCAGACAATTCTAGGAAGCTTAGTATCCCAGGTTTGTTATAGGAGCCGGTCTGCGCTCCAGTCCCTGATTGATCATCAAAGAGCGAATCTAAGGTACAACGTGGCACAACAATTGCCTCCTCCCAAACTAGAGGCTCTCAAGGATATTCTACAAAGAGGCCTCGACGATCTTGATAGCATATTCCTTGTCATTGATGCTCTCGACGAATGCAGCGACCGTTCATCCATTACGAAGGAACTTCGTGGTATATTTGACAATACAAAGGGCAATCTGAAGATCCTTGCGACTAGTAGAAGTGAAGGTGCCATTGAAAGACATTTCAAAGGACAACCAGATATATGGCTCACAGAGCACACACATAACGATGTGAAAATCTTCGTTGACAGTCGCGTGGCCTCCATGAGGAACGATACAGAAAAGGAAGATATATCTGACAGGATGCTGCACCGAGTCCAGAAAACTATCCCGCGTATTGCCGGCAATATGTAAGTGTAAAATCTTTGGGCTGGTTAGTTACAAATCAATGTGCTGATGATACTACAAGGTTTTTGCTAGCCCGATATCAAATGGAGATAATAGAGGAATGTGACTGTGACGACGATCTCGAAGAGATTTTGGAAGACCTACCTGGAGACATCGATAAAATGTATGTCCGCATTCTAGAAAAGCTTGCGGATATGGTCCGGAATAACAAAGTCCGGAGAAAACGACAGCGCGCAATAATACGGTGGCTCGTTGCTGCAAAGCGCCCCCTCAAGCTAGATGAGTTGGCGGAAGCTGTAACTATTGGTCGAGGCCAGCAAGAGCTTCGAAAAACAGGAGTGGTACACGGAAAACCCCTGATCGACATTTGCGGACCAGTGGTGTACGTCAACGAAACAACAAAAGAAGTCACCCTCTGCCATTTCTCGTTGAAAGAGTTTCTGATCAAGGATCGATTTACTGAAGCCATCAGTAATCCAAGTCATTCTAAGTTACTATCCTACCGTGTAGACCTTCAAAAAGTTCATGAAAAGCTTGCCAGAAACTGCTTAATCTATCTTTCGTTCGAAATATTCAAGACGCCTTACGTCGACGAGGACGATCTAAACCGGTGTCGACAAGAAAACCACTTTCTTGACTATGCAGCATATCACGTTGGTGATCACTGCAGGGAACTATCAATTTGCAGCGACTCTCTAGTGGCCTACTTGGATTGCTTTTTTCTTCCCGAGCCACAACTTTCGTCTATACAGAGTTCTGAATTGACAAGTAGAGTCAATGGGTATAGAGCACTGACTACAGTCAGCGTTCTCTGTCCTCCAGTAGGAGATGAATATTGCGGCTGTTATACCAGCGACATCCATGGAGAGTTCCGCGGATGGCAGTCAATAAATGGGATTGACCTTGCTCAGCCTAGCGACGAAGATGGTGAGAGACTCGTCAAGATGTGCATGGAACACCAAGAGCAAAACTTTGCTTCGCATCCCAGCTGCAGGTCTTGGCTACAGCTCTATCGCATTCTGGCACCGGGAACGAGGAAGGATCACCATGGCAATATAACTCCTCTCTACTTTGCCGCCCTTTTCAATTGGCGCGCCGGGGTTGAAGTTTATCTAGAGCGAATCCAAGGCCGGTTGACGACGAGTGATCTGAATCATGCCTTGAGAGGCGCTGCTATCGGAGGCTCAGACAAAGACGAAGATAAAGATAACAATACTTGTGCTGAGCTGATCAGAATCCTTATCCAGGCGGGTGCAGAGGTAAATTCACATGTGCCAGATCTTGGCAGTGCCTTGCAATCAGCTGCATTTTGCTCTAATCTGGAAGCAACCGATGCGCTATTTCGACACGGAGCAAGATTAGAGGATGATGAGAAGAACATTTATCGACCTGGTGGAACAGCTGGAGGAGCACTAGAGTCAGCAGCCATGGCTGGCGACCAAGAGTTGATTAAGATGTTGATCGCCAATGGAGCCAATGTGAACCGCGTCGGTGCGTGGAATGGGACTGCGCTCAACGTCTCCGTCCGCCATGTAGATATCGAGCTTATATCATACCTTTTGGATCTCGGTGCAGACCCAGCCATTTATGCCGGGTACAATACCAGCACACTCCATCAACTTGCCGGCGGCTGGGTACCGGATTCTGCTAAAGCATCAGCCATACTCCAGTTGGTCTTGGAGCGTTGCGGCGCCGGTGCAAATCTCAATCCTTATCCTTACGGAACTCCTTTACAGCAAGCTTGCTTCGCTGGCCAAAGAGACAAAATCCACATCCTATTGTCGGCAGGCGCAGATATTCATGCTGAAAGCGGCCAGTTTGGAGACGCAATCCAAACGGCCTCGATGCATGGAAACGGTGAGATTGTGACAGATTTACTTGACAAGGGCGCCAACCCGGATTCAGATGCAAGACTCCTGGAATCCAGATGGAATGTCAACTTTGAAGCGCCATTTTATGGAAGAATTACCGTCCTCCAAGGCGGACAGGGATTGGTTGATCACTGGTTTGATGCTGGTCCCTCTTCCTTTGACGTTGCACTGCCTCGGTTTGGATTCTACGCTCCTGCTCTTCAGGCGGCTGTTCGATGGCGTTCGGACCATTGGAATAAGATCATCTTGCTGCTCGAGAATGAACCAACGCACCAAGAAGGCCACGATGGAAGCCCTCTTCAAGCAGCCGCCTTGTTTGGGGAATTACAGAACGTCAATGCGCTTCTTGGGGGCTCGGAGTTACGCGCAGATCCTAATCATGCCTCCGGTGGCATCTTCAACACCGCGTTGCAAGCAGCATCGTACAACGGGCATGAAAAGATTGTCAACACGCTTTTACACCACGGCAGTGAGATCAACCAGGGTGGAGGCTTATACGGGTGCGCCCTATTGGCTGCGGCGGCGGCTGGACACGAAGACATCTGTCGTCTTTTGATCGAGAGTGGCGCGGATCAAGACCAGCTGGATACTCATGGGTGGTCTTACTCCGACTGGCGTCTTCAACGGGCCAGAGCCTCTGTACGGACTGGAGGAAGCTCTACTGGAGCCCTTGGACCCACCGAATTTGGTGATGGGACCTTCAAGTCACCACAGTTGAAATTGGGCGAGAACCGCATAGAAGTTGAATTTCAGGGCGTGCCATGCTGCACATCGGTGGAGTTTCTGTTTGGTTGGCTAACTGCCGGTCGTAAGTGCATGTGTTCGTACGAAATTCTTCAATTTTGTAATAATTAGCTGCGACTAGGTCCATGGATGATGGCATACGCTTTATCAGCCCCTTCCAGTATTGCGGCCTCACTGCTGGCGAATCACCCATTTCCACCATGTCAAAGCTCTTATTTCGAGTTTACGGTTGCTTCAGCCGGAGATGAAGGGTAAGTACCTATTCCCATCGGACTGTCTCCCTCCTCTTTTTCCACTATCTTGTTCAGCCTGTTAACTTGGAAATCGAAGCATTATTTCTATCGGCGTTGGCGACGAGCTTATGCCTCGCTTTGAGCTGCCTGGTCGATTTCCCCGGTCCTGGGGCTATGAGGGATCGACGGGGAAATGCACTGGCGAGAGGAAAGATTTGGCGACCTTTGACAGATTTTTATGACTTTTTTCGCGATTTTTCGCGATTTTAGACCCCTGTTTAGACCCCTGTCTGGGCCTCTGTCTAGACCCCTGTCTGGACCCCTGTCTACACTTAGTTATCTTATCTTATCTTATTGATTATATAAGAAGTTTGGAACTACCCTTATCTTATCGTACTATAATTTTCAATACCCTAGAGTTATTTGAATTGTATCAAATCTATCAAATAATTGGTCTTGAAGATTTGATTGATTGATTGAGAATTTCGCGATGATTTGATTGATTGATTGATAGATTTGACAAATATATCTGATTTGACGGCAGCGCTGCCACCTCTATTTCACCAAAAAGGGTCTCAGGCAAGGTTAGTAGCTCTTGTTGCTCACATTAATTTGATTATATTGTTGACATATGTTTCACTTTAGAACTCGAAATCTCTGTTCCATCCGAATTACGGCTGTTTGCTGTAATAGGCATGTGTTCAGAGGGAGGAAGCGGCAAGGTTAATTTTGGGACATCACCTTTTATTTATCAATTGGATTAAAGCTGCAAGATGACTATGTACTTTCATTTCTCAATGTATACTAGAAATTAAAGTGCTTAACTGGTATAAATAAGCTTCCCTCTTATGTCTATACCTAGTAGGTACTTTATAGTACTCCTTAAACAGGAAGTAGCTTTAAGCAGGTATGATCATATATCAAATTAATGATTAACAACTGGCTATTTAAAAGTAATTAAAGAGCTAATTGAATGAAACTGGTATCCAGTCGTCTCTTTCTTCCTACTCAGGCCTGTCCACTTGTACCCGTAAGAATGAAGGTTATTCTCACAGTCCTTCTGAGACATCAATTGGCTGACTTGTACATACTTTTCACAAAGTATGCAGCTCTGTCGGTTCAGACCCTAACAATATCCAAGAGACAACCTTTCAACTGCTCCGAAAATTTCAAGCCTCTATGGATCAGAGCAGCCCGGATCGGAGCACAAACAAACTCCGCAGTCATTTCCAACAGCATTAAATGTCAGCTCCCCATAAGTCGAAACGTCATTGGGGTTAGGATAATAGAAGGGAGCACTTCCACAGATGCTGCACCCGTGGCCAACGACTAGTTCATTTGTTAGCACCTTGTCTACACAAGCTCGGCAAACCCAGTACAATCCAGGTCCTCTAGATATACATGGGTAGTTCATCACACAAGAGAACATGACTTACTGTCAGCGGCCAGTCTCTTCGCGTCGCTCCCCCAGCCTCCGCCAGTTCCTTGGAAGAATGCACAAATGCCGTTGGCGCAGGCGATTTGCTGTCCATTGTTGAACCAGGTACCATCGTTCGCTATGCAGCACTTGATTAGTACAGAACTAGCACTAGGATCACGAAGAACAAACCGCTGTTGATGAATCCCTGGAGCTCCTTTGCAATCCCACCGCCTGCAAAACTGCAACCAGCTGCGCCTTCGCAGTTGATGCCCTCTGCAGCGACGGATCCGATGCCAGCGAGGGCAGTCAGGATGGTGATAGCGGTGTTGGAATGCATGATACCGGTAATTGTATTAGTGCCTTTGATACTCTGAAGGGAAATTCAAAATAACAGAGACGAGCCTGTCTTATATATACATCTTGCTGTCTCTCCATAAACCGAATCGACAAGGTCCCTATACGACACTAGTGATGATATGGAACGTAATATGTTGTATATCGCAGGGCTCCTAGCCAATCACTTTGGCAGATACACCGCTTGACTTAGTATAAGCCGAGGGACCAAGGAACTTGAGAAGATGGTGGATGAGCTGGCACAACCACCTGGGGTAATATCTGGGCTATTATCTGGGTTATCATTTGGGCTATTATCTGACACAATCATTTAGGCCATTATCCGACATTATCATCCAGGCTGTGAACGGAGTCCGACGTCGAGCTCGTGTTTCCGGGGTCGTACACATTTGACATGGCCAGTCGATGACATATTGAAGACAGCATGCAGGAACTGAGATACAGTCGCGTTCTTTCCGAGTAGCTCTGTGTATGGTACCGCTTGTCTCGTATAGGATACTTCTCTCCTGCCAAAATCTATCCTCAAGTTACCATACAAAGAGCCATTTTCGATTTGCAAAGATCTTCTATGCGGTCTTCAAATTTTCCGCCGCTCTCGTCGTCCGCTAGACAGCAAGTGTAACAGAGAACACATTCTACTTTTCCCAAAACTATTGCGTATAGTTCCGGCCAAACGGCTACGGTACCATGACGTTGACTGAGAGAGATATTTTACGGAGGAGTTATATTCCAGCTGCTTACTTGCTGTACTCCGCTCTCGCTAAGGGAATTACAGCATACTACTCGTATTCCACAGACACTTCTCCGTACCTGGTCGCGAGGCTTACTGGTTAATTAACCAGTAAGACATAGACAAATCAAGAAAAAACTTGTATTTAAACCCTGTCGACCACATTCCAAATACGGTGTACAGGTATAGAATAGCGAGAGCAGGCGGTGAAGCTCTGATCTTATACTCTGGGTATCTCACATTTGCATTCACCAACTACAGCATACTAGTATTGATCAACTAAATACCAGCTTATCCCTCAAAACATAGATTAGCTAGAAACAGACGCTTCGCTTAAATAATGTTAGGATCTTTTAGTAATGCACCAGGATGAAGCAGTTCAGGATAGGGCGGGTAAGCTAGTTTAAACCAGGTACCCGCCGGCAAGCGGGTATCAGAATAGAGAGAAGAAGATGAATACGTGCGTACACTGGAGCAATACATACAACACTACGGAGTCCTGTGACGTTTATAGAGCAAAATAACTTGTTAGGTATGGAGCTAACAGTTCTGTTTTTTTATCGCTACAACTGCAATGCAAGGATGCCTTGTGTGCGTAGCGTCTGGGTTTGTGTGCTGATCGTCCGCCAAGCTCGGCTATTCCCCTCATGCAGCTTGATTAGGCTCGTTTGTAATTGGCTTAAGGGGGAATAAAGTTATGACATTCTCTTAGGTCTATTGAGTTAGGTTTGGAAACTAAGACTTATATTGCTGACGAGAAGTAGAGAGAGGCCGGGGGTGGAGTTTAGTCTAGTTATTATTTTTGCACCAAACAGCGCTTGAGTTTGGAGAGTCTGGCAACCACGATGCAAGGTCTCCTCGCAATGATTCCAGTATAGCCCAATGGTTACTGCATAATGGGTACTGCATAATGGTTACGGACTGTATCTTAAGTCCCGAAAACAACTAATCACAGCCGACAGTTCTTACCGTTTTTGGGTCACCCTATCGTTACAGGCCTGGCGTCTTCTATTGTTTCTATTATGCTGATGAGGGCTGTCTTCATAGGCCATCTTCAAAAAGTTCCACAGGATGAAATAGCGTGCCGATGTCCCGAAGATTCCACATAAGATAACAAGCTCAACAAAGATGATACCTTGCAGTGGAGCGAGCGATACTCCCCTTCAGTCATTCCCTACCCGATACAGTGGTTTAATATACAACTTGGAGCTAAATATCTAGCCCCTCGATGAATCCTAATTGATGGAAATACATACAGCGTAATATCTATCGTATTGCAGTAAGGAGTAAGCACCCGCAAGTTGGGGGCATTCCCCCGTCGGATTTGAATGGAGTCATCCCGGCTTCATCCCACATTCCCCGATCCATCGCCGGGAATAAGCCCAACTATATCTCGGTTTTCTTCCCAGACATAGCCGAAGACCAGTAGAGACAAATCATATCATCTTAACGATCGAATTCGTCTCCTCAGTTAACACATAACACCCTTACATAGCCCCCACCGAGCCCCCACAGAATACACGGACTCAAGATACCTAGTTATCACAGCACAATCACCATCACGGCACAATCATCGTCACAGTACATCATCGTCACAGCACAATCATCATCAGTTTCACACAAGCCTGTCCATTTCAAATCTACTTGCCAAAAAAGAACCCAAGCTAAAAACACTCACACAAATCACAAAAAAAAGTCTCAAAATAAAGACCGCCCCATCCTCACTCCCCTAAAAAGCTTCCTTCCTACCAAGCTACTCCCCTTCCCTCCCCCAGCGCCAGAATGAAAATGAACCCCCTTCCCTTTTTCGCGCCAAAAGAAAAAAGCTGCAACTCTCTCGCCGCTTCGGAAAAAAAAAACAGATATATATATGAGCGTTGTGTGTGAACGTGTTGATGTGTGTGTGTGTAAATGTGCGCATATATATCTGAGGGCAAAAGAGTAAATGCGTTTTGCTATGCGAGCAAATAAAACACCATGCCGGCCATAAGATCACCCAACGTATAAAGCCCCCTCCATCCGATACGCACCGACATTCCAAATCGTTGAAACCCAAAACCCTCTTCCTCATCATCATCATCATTCAAGCATATCCCCCCTCCAATCGGCCCATCCTGGGGCCACACCTCGTTATAAATTGCTGACAGCCCCCAAACTTTCTCCTCACCGTCGTACCCTCAAGGGTGCCGGCAGCAAATCCAGCGGCGGCTCAGCAGGCTCGCTTATGCTCCTCTGCCTCTCCGTCCTATCATCCCTGTCGTCTCCGTCTCCAGAGCTGACACTGTCATCCACCTCCACGGGACTGCTTTCGTCCTCCTCGCTGCTATCGCTCTCTTCTTCCTCGAACACGATTTGTCGCATGACAGTCTTTTCAAAAAGGTCAATCACCATTCTACGGACGCCGAGTCGGTAGTGATTCCACTCCATCAGCCCCATGACCGTCTTGAAGAATTCTGCGCTGCGGAAAGCCATTGGCTTGCGAGCTTTAATCTTTTGCAGTTCGGTGACTGCTTTCCGGTATAAGACAGTGTTTCCAAGGTCTACTATAAGCTCGAGTATGCGCTCGCTGATGGCACTGTCGTTAAGAAGGGGTGGCATTTCCGACAACTCCAACGGTGGCCGAGCGGGTCTAGGCGGAGGCTGCTCTTTTATGGTGCATTGTGACTCTGGCAGTGTAATAGAAGCAGCTGTCTCGTGATGCCACGGCGATAGTGAAAACAGCGTTGACAGGTTGGACGGAATGCAGAAGCCAAGGGAATTACCCATGAGCGTAGTATTCGCATCCCATCCATGTTCTGACAGGATTTCCAGACCATGTGTCGATCGAGAAATGAGACCGAGAACGAAAAAGGCGGTTCCACGGAGACTCATTACCTCGTGCTGTGTTGCGATTTTGATAATCTGCTCAACCATATCGGTAGACTCCAGGAATGGTGCACCAAGCTCCATGGATCCCACGTTGCCAACAGCCCAAAGGCAGCCCTTCACTTTGGTAATCAGCTCAGGGTCCTCAGATTGCATGCCATGTTCACGAATTGTGTTGGCAAACTCCTCAAAATGGCCCTTATCACTGAGCAACCTGCAACCCTCTTGGGTTCTCGTCAGCTCCCTGTAGAAGTGGGGTGGTATATGGCTATCGTGATAATCGGTTTCCGCCTCATGTTCCTCAAACACGCTCAGGCGATGATGTTGTTCGTCCGTATCCGTTAGAAATGCCTTGGCCAAGCTAGCCTCGATAAGGCCGACATAAGAATCATTTCTTCCCAAAAACCAATCGTCCATCTCGTTGCTGATATAATCAAGTCCATCTAAATAGTGATAACCGATGGATGTGGATAGGAATCGTAGCAAGAGAGGCGCTCCAATTTCGCCAAGATGATCCAGGGCCGGGCGACATTCGACAATGTACGCCAAGTAAGCCTTTCTGTTGCAGGCCTTTTCCAGTATCTTGACCGCAGTAGAGCAAACTTCAATCTCTGGATCGTATAGCTGGGTGACTAATAGTTGGATGGCCCATTTCGAGTCGCTCATTTCGCCCCGGCCATCAATAGACGGCACCCTCCTAAGAGTGCATTTTCGAAGGGTATTTGTGGCGTGTATTCGGATCTCTTTCGTACCCGCCGTCAGCGCTTTGGAAAGCAAGATGCGGTGGTGGCCCTGGAGGCTGTAGTCAAAACTAGAAAGGAGGAGCTTGACAAGATCAGGGCGCGTGGTCAGCTCATAAATATGGTACATCATGTTGAACATGCGCCATCTCTCCAGCATAGCCAACCCCTTTGGATCGCCAGTAAGCACTCCGAGCATCGGAAAGTAACCAGCGCAGAGGGTATCCGTCAGCCTGTCCTTAGAAAACATGGGATACTGTGCGGTTAATCCACTGGTCTGTCGCCCAAACGTCAGCATAAAAACTTTAAAGTGGCCTTATTTAGATGAAGCTCACCGGATCACACTGAGCCAGGCATTCCGCAATCTGCCTCAGCAGCTTGCTATCTGCCAAGAATCTGACTCCCTCTGGTGATTGTAGCAGGGAGTGTACCAGAGCACATCCAGCCCTGACATACTTTTGTGCGTTTCGTGTATTTCGGACGTCAGCAAACTTGTACTTGAACGGCCTGTAAAAGCTCATGATTCTCTTCATAAACTTGGAGGCTTTGATAGCCTCTTCAAGTCTCTTGCCGACTTGCAGAGGGCCGTCAATAACCTTGATGATATTCTCCCAATTCCATTTGGAATAGTTGGAGCTGTTGAGCACA